GTGTAGACTCACTCATAGTGAATTGTAGACTCACTCATAGAGAAGTGTAGACTCACTCATAGTGAAGTGTAGACTCACTCATAGAGGAGTGTAGACTCACTCATAGAAGAGTGTAGACTCACTCATAGAGAAGTGTAGACTCACACATAGAGAAGTGTAGACTCACTCATAGTGAAGTGTAGACTCACTCATAGTGAATTGTAGACTCACACATAGAGAAGTGTAGACTCACTCATAGAGAAGTGTAGACTCACTCATAGAGAAGTGTAGACTCACTCGTAGTGAAGTGTAGACTCACACATAGTGAAGTGTAGACTCACACATAGAGAGTGTAGACTCACTCATAGTGAAGTGTAGACTCACACATAGTGAAGTGTAGACTCACTCATAGTGAAGTGTAGACTCACTCATAGTGAAGTGTAGACTCACTCGTAGAGAAGTGTAGACTCACTCATAGTGAAGTGTAGACTCACTCATAGAGGAGTGTAGACTCACTCATAGAGAAGTGTAGACTCACTCATAGAGAAGTGTAGACTCACTCATAGTGAAGTGTAGACTCACTCATAGTGAATTGTAGACTCACTCATAGAGAAGTGTAGACTCTCTCATAGAGAAGTGTAGACTCACTCATAGTGAAGTGTAGACTCACACATAGAGAAGTGTAGACTCACTCATAGAGAAGTGTAGACTCACTCATAGTGAAGTGTAGACTCACTCATAGTGAATTGTAGACTCACTCATAGAGAAGTGTAGACTCACTCATAGTGAAGTGTAGACTCACTCATAGTAAATTGTAGACTCACACATAGAGAAGTGTAGACTCACTCATAGAGAAGTGTCGACTCACTCGTAGAGAAGTGTAGACTCACTCGTAGTGAAGTGTAGACTCACTCATAGAGTAGTGTAGACTCACTCATAGAGAAGTGTAGACTCACACATAGAGAAGTGTAGACTCAATCATAGTGAAGTGTAGACTCACTCATAGTGAATTGTAGACTCACTCATAGAGAAGTGTAGACTCACTCATAGAGAAGTGTCGACTCACTCGTAGAGAAGTGTAGACTCACTCGTAGTGAAGTGTAGACTCACACATAGAGTAGTGTAGACTCACTCATAGAGAAGTGTAGACTCACACATAGAGAAGTGTAGACTCAATCATAGTGAAGTGTAGACTCACACATAGAGAAGTGTAGACTCACACGTAGAGGAGTGTAGACTCACACGTAGAGAAGTGTAGACTCACACATAGAAAAGTGTTGACTCACTCATAGAGAAGTGTAGACTCACTCATAGAGAAGTGTAGACTCACACATAGAGAAGTGTAGACTCACACATAGAGAAGTGTAGACTCACACATAGAGAAATGTAGACTCACTCATAGAGAAGTGTAGACTCACACATAGAGAAGTGTAGACTCACTCATAGAGAAGTGTGGACTCACACATAGAGAAGTGTAGACTCACTCATAGAGAAGTGTAGACTCACACATAGTGAAGTGTAGACTCACTCTTAGAGAAGTGTAGACTCACTCGTAGTGAAGTGTAGACTCCCACATAGAGAAGTGTAGACTCACTCATAGAGAAGTGTAGACTCACTCATAGAGAAGTGTAGACTCAATCATAGTGAAGTGTAGACTCACACATAGAGAAGTGTAGACTCACACATAGAGAAGTGTAGACTCACTCATAGAGAAGTGTAGACTCACTCATAGAGAAGTGTAGACTCACTCATAGAGAAGTGTAGACTCACTCATAGTGAAGTGTAGACTCACACGTAGAGGAGTGTAGACTCACTCATAGAGAAGTGTAGACTCACTCATAGTGAAGTGTAGACTCACACGTAGAGGAGTGTAGACTCACACATAGAGAAGTGTAGACTCACACATAGAAAAGTGTAGACTCACTCATAGAGAAGTGTAGACTCACTCATAGAGAAGTGTAGACTCACTCGTAGAGAAGTGTAGACTCACACATAGAGAAGTGTAGACTCACTCATAGTGAAGTGTAGACTCACTCATAGTGAAGTGTAGACTCACTCGTAGAGAAGTGTAGACTCACACATAGAGAAGTGTTAACTCACACATAGAGAAGTGTAGACTCACTCATAGAGAAGTGTAGACTCACTCATAGAGAAGTGTAGACTCACTCGTAGTGAAGTGTAGACTCACTCATAGAGAAGTGTAGACTCACTCATAGTGAAGTGTAGACTCACACATAGTGAAGTGTAGACTCACTCATAGTGAAGTGTAGACTCACTCATAGTGAAGTGTAGACTCACACATAGCGAAGTGTAGACTCACTCGTAGAGAAGTGTAGACTCACTCATAGAGAAGTGTAGACTCACACATAGTGAAGTGTAGACTCACACATAGAGAAGTGTAGACTCACTCATAGAGAAGTGTAGACTCACACATAGAGAAGTGTAGACTCACTCATAGAGAAGTGTAGACTCACTCATAGAGAAGTGTAGACTCACTCATAGAGAAGTGTAGACTCACTCATAGTGAAGTGTAGACTCACTCATAGAGAAGTGTAGACTCACTCATAGAGAAGTGTGGACTCACACATAGAGAAGTGTAGACTCACTCATAGAGAAGTGTAGACTCACTCATAGAGAAGTGTAGACTCACTCATAGAGAAGTGTAGACTCACTCATAGAGAAGTGTAGACTCGCTCATAGAGAAGTGTAGACTCACTCGTAGAGAAGTGTAGACTCACTCATAGAGAAGTGTAGACTCACACATAGAGAAGTGTAGACTCACTCATAGAGAAGTGTAGATTCACTCATAGAGAAGTGTGGACTCACTCATAGTGAAGTGTAGACTCACTCATAGAGAAGTGTAGACTCACACATAGAGAAGTGTAGACTCACTCATAGAGAAGTGTAGACTCACTCGTAGTGAAGTCTAGACTCACACATAGAGAAGTGTAGACTCACTCATAGAGAAGTGTAGATTCACTCATAGAGAAGTGTGGACTCACTCATAGTGAAGTGTAGACTCACTCATAGAGAAGTGTAGACTCACACATAGAGAAGTGTAGACTCACTCATAGAGAAGTGTGGACTCACTCATAGTGAAGTGTAGACTCACTCGTAGTGAAGTGTAGACTCACACATAGAGAAGTGTAGACTCGCTCATAGAGAAGTGTAGACTCGCTCATAGAGAAGTGTAGACTCACTCATAGAGAAGTGTAGACTCACTCATAGAGAAGTGTAGACTCACTCATAGAGAAGTGTAGACTCACACATAGAGAAGTGTAGACTCACTCATAGAGAAGTGTAGATTCACTCATAGAGAAGTGTAGACTCACTCATAGAGAAGTGTAGACTCACTCATAGAGGAGTGTAGACTCACTCATAGAGAAGTGTAGACTCACTCATAGTGAAGTGTAGACTCACTCATAGAGAAGTGTAGATTCACTCATAGAGAAGTGTAGACTCACTCATAGAGAAGTGTAGACTCACTCATAGAGGAGTGTAGACTCACTCATAGAGAAGTGTAGACTCACTCATAGTGAATTGTAGACTCACACATAGAGAAGTGTAGACTCACTCATAGAGAAGTGTAGAATCACTCGTAGAGAAGTGTAGACTCACTCATAGAGAAGTGTAGACTCACTCATAGTGAATTGTAGACTCACACATAGAGAAGTGTAGACTCACTCATAGAGAAGTGTAGACTCACACATAGAGAAGTGTAGTCTCACTCATAGCGAAGTGTGGACTCACTCATAGAGAGGGTAGACTCACTCATAGAGGAGTGTAGACTCACTCATAGAGGAGTGTAGACTCACTCATAGAGAAGTGTAGACTCACACATAGAGAAGTGTAGACTCACTCATAGTGAAGTGTAGACTCACTCATAGAGAAGTGTGGACTCACACATAGAGAAGTGTAGACTCACTCATAGAGAAGTGTAGACTCACTCATAGAGAAGTGTAGACTCACTCATAGAGGAGTGTAGACTCACTCATAGAGAAGTGTAGACTCACTCATAGTGAAGTGTAGACTCACTCATAGAGAAGTGTGGACTCACACATAGAGAAGTGTAGACTCACTCATAGAGAAGTGTAGACTCACTCATAGAGAAGTGTAGACTCACTCATAGAGAAGTGTAGACTCACTCATAGAGAAATGTAGACACGTTCATAGAGAAGTGTAGACTCACTCGTAGTGAAGTGTAGACTCACTCATAGTGAAGTGTAGACTCACTCATAGAGAAGTGTAGACTCACTCATAGTGAAGTGTAGACTCACTCATAGAGAAGTGTAGACTCACTCATAGAGAAGTGTAGACTCACTCATAGTGAAGTGTAGACTCACTCATAGTGAAGTGTAGACTCACTCATAGAGAAGTGTAGACTCACACATAGTGAAGTGTAGACTCACACATAGTGAAGTGTAGACTCACTCGTAGAGAAGTGTAGACTCACACATAGAGAAGTGTAGACTCACACATAGAGAAGTGTAGACTCACACATAGAGAAGTGTAGACTCACTCATAGAGAAGTGTAGACTCACTCATAGAGAAGTGTAGACTCACTCATAGTGAAGTGTAGACTCACTCATAGTGAAGTGTAGACTCACTCATAGAGAAGTGTAGACTCACTCATAGAGAAGTGTAGACACGTTCATAGAGAAGTGTAGACTCACATTGGGAAGCGTAGACTCACTCGTAGAGAAGTGTAGACTCACTCGTAGTGAAGTGTAGACTCACTCATAGAGAAGTGTAGACTCACTCATACAGAAGTGTAGACTCACATTGGCAAGCGTAGACTGTTACACCGTAGTTTATTTTTTTAAGTTTTGCTGTCTGGCCGGCTGCCTGGCTGGCGCGCCACCGAGTTAGCAGCGGCAGGTAGGCGCGTCACCCCTCCCTCCTCCCCCCCCCCACCGCCGCGCGCGCGTCCGCTATGTGACGTCATGGCGTGCTGACGTCACGCCCCCTCCTTCCCCCCCCCTACCCCCCACTCCCCCTCTCCCCCCCGCCCACCCTTCCCCAGCTGGGAGAGCAGTGGAACGCGAGCGACTGCATGCTGGCCACGTGCGTGGGGCCCGGCCCTCAGGTGACGATGGCGAAGCGGTCGTGCTCCCCGCCGCCCGCCCCCGCGTGCGACTCCGGGCGCAAGGCCGTGCGAGTGGACGATGCCGACGGCTGCTGCTACCGCTGGGAGTGCGACTGTGAGTTTTGGGGCGTGACGTCACGGGGGAGAGAGAGGGGACAGAGAGAGAGAGAGAGAGAGTTTTCTGTTTAGTTTCAGTTCATTTTGGTGTAGCCCTGTGGGCCATCCGGCTCTTGAATCGGGTGCAACCACAACAAACAATGAAACTCAAACACGGACAAGAAAAATATATCTTAAAGTGACTTTGTGTTGACTGTGCAAGACAGAAAATCCATGGGAAAAAAAAACAGCAAAAATATTCCTGAAATAGCACCGTACACCAACGCTGTGTGCAAAAATCCCAGTTGGATGCAAGTCAAACAACAACAGCAACAACAAGAAATCTTAGATTAAGGCCATCAGTCTAACTCCGTACTACAACAACAACCACAAGACAACTTAGATTAAGGCCATCAGTCTAACTCCGTTCTACAACAACAACCACAAGACAACTTAGATTAAGGCCATCAGTCTAACTCCCTACTACAACAACAACCACAAGACAACTTAGATTAAGGCCATCAGTCTAACTCCGTACTACAACAACAACCACAACAAGACAACTTAGACTAAGGCCGTCAGTCTAACTCCGTACTACAACAACAACAACCACAAGACAACTTAGATTAAGGCCATCAGTCTAACTCCGTACTACAACAACAACCACAACAAGACAACTTAGATTAAGGCCGTCAGTCTAACTCCGTACAACAACAACAACCACAAGACAACTTAGACTAAGGCCGTCAGTCTAACTCCGTACAACAACAACAACCACAAGACAACTTAGATTAAGGCCATCAGTCTAACTCCGTACTACAACAACAACCACAAGACAACTTAGATTAAGGCCGTCAGTCTAACTCCGTACTACAACAACAACCACAACTTAGATTAAGGCCATCAGTCTAACTCCGTACAACAACAACAACCACAAGACAACTTAGATTAAGGCCATCAGTCTAACTCCGTACTACAACAACAACCACAAGACAACTTAGATTAAGGCCATCAGTCTAACTCCGTACTACAACAACAACAACCACAAGACAACTTAGATTAAGGCCGTCAGTCTAACTCCGTACAACAACAACAACCACAAGACAACTTAGATTAAGGCCATCAGTCTAACTCCGTACTACAACAACAACCACAAGACAACTTAGATTAAGGCCATCAGTCTAACTCCGTACTACAACAACAACCACAACAAGACAACTTAGATTAAGGCCGTCAGTCTAACTCCGTACAACAACAACAACCACAAGACAACTTAGACTAAGGCCGTCAGTCTAACTCCGTACAACAACAACAACCACAAGACAACTTAGATTAAGGCCATCAGTCTAACTCCGTACTACAACAACAACCACAAGACAACTTAGATTAAGGCCGTCAGTCTAACTCCGTACAACAACAACAACCACAAGACAACTTAGATTAAGGCCATCAGTCTAACTCCGTACTACAACAACAACCACAAGACAACTTAGATTAAGGCCATCAGTCTAACTCCGTACTACAACAACAACCACAAGACAACTTAGATTAAGGCCATCAGTCTAACTCCGTACTACAACAACAACCACAAGACAACTTAGATTAAGGCCATCAGTCTAACTCCGTACTACAACAACAACCACAAGACAACTTAGATTAAGGCCATCAGTCTAACTCCGTACTACAACAACCACAAGACAACTTAGATTAAGGCCATCAGTCTAACTCCGTACTACAACAACAACCACAAAACAACTTAGATTAAGGCCATCAGTCTAACTCCGTACTACAACAACAACCACAAGACAACTTAGATTAAGGCCATCAGTCTAACTCCGTACTACAACAACAACCACAAGACAACTTTAGATTAAGGCCATCAGTCTAACTCCGTACTACAACAACAACCACAACTTAGATTAAGGCCATCAGTCTAACTCCGTACTACAACAACAACCACAAGACAACTTTAGATTAAGGCCATCAGTCTAACTCCGTACTACAACAACAACCACAAGACAACTTAGATTAAGGCCATCAGTCTAACTCCGTACTACAACAACCACAAGACAACTTAGATTAAGGCCATCAGTCTAACTCCGTACTACAACAACAACCACAAAACAACTTAGATTAAGGCCATCAGTCTAACTCCGTACTACAACAACAACCACAAGACAACTTAGATTAAGGCCATCAGTCTAACTCCGTACTACAACAACAACCACAAGACTACTTAGATTAAGGCCATCAGTCCAACTCCGTACTACAACAAAACAAACATGTCCAAACCAACAAAACGTTTTCCATATCACCAAAAATTAAAGCCATAATTGCAACGTAACAGTGATCACATGGACTGTGGCCGAATTTTTAACAATAAACTACATAAACAATAACATGTAACACAAAACCCTAGAGCCATAGCTGGCTGCATGAGTTACTCCGCAACAACAGAAGCATCGGTCGGAGTATCAAATTTTTCAATGCACCTTTAAGATCAGCACGCTAAATCAAAACGCAAATAATACGTTGCAGCGATCATCTGGAGCGAAAACATTTTATTTTATTTTACGCCAATGAATAGCAGTGGCGGCTAGGGGTGTACAACTCCTCTAGAGCAGTTTTGAGAGAAGATCTCAGAGGGAGAGAGATGAGAGAGATGAGAGAGAGGAGAGAGATATAGCGAGGACAGGTTCTCGCGCTTGCTGAGGAATTCCCAGGCGTTCCCGGACAAGCCACGCCAGCAGCGGCGTGTCCTGGGCCTGCTCCCCCCCGGGGTGGGGGTGGGGGGGGCATCCTCACCGGTGTGCCCGAACGACCTCGAACCGGCTCCCGTTGGTCCACATGAGGAGCAGCGGCTCGACTCCGAGGCTCTCCCGGATCCATACTCTTTGGTTCTATTCGGTAAAGTCACCACGTAGGTTAAAAAAAAAAACTACAAAAATCACGACGTTTCGGCCACAACACAAGCGGCCTTCATCAGGTGAAGGGTCCAGACTGTCTCGAGCACAGCGCTGGAGTGAAACACAGCCAAGCTCAGACCGCGACCTTTAAGCTGTGTGAGAGGTATTAAGGTGCCTTGAGAAAGGAATTAGCATAAAAATTTGCATTCAATTGGCGGACTTAGCATGATGAACGGTGTAGAGGGGGTGAACATGTGCAGGTCGGCGAGGGGGGGAGGGGGAGTTTACATATTGATGGTGTGAAAAGGGAATTTTAAGAGCTGCGAAAGTTTGGGGTACCACTACTTGAAAAAATATACTGTACCATTGAAAATGTGTTTAATGTTTGGTTCGATTTAGAACATCTTTCCAATGGTTGCTTAATTTGAAACCATCTTCTCGGTTGAAATTGTGTCTGTGTTTGTAAATCTGAATCGCCTCGTGAACAAATCTCTGATAAAAACCCGTGGGTTTGCAAAGAACCTTGGTATCGGGAAAATTATATCGTGATCACCCACAGCGTTGTAACAGTGATCAGCTACAGCAGAAGAATTCGTTCTGCCGTGTTTCAAATCTGATTTGTGCTCGCGAATTCGGTCAGAGACATGTCGCTTCGTCTCCCCGATATAGCAGTCACTGCAGGTACAACTCAATTTGTAAACCCCGGGGTACTGTAAGTCAGGAATGACATCCTTCACGGATGGGATCAGATCACAAATTTTGTGTACTGTATTGAACCGGACCTGGATCTTGTGTTTGTTTAGAATTTTCGAAATCTTTTTAGTAACGCCTGCTATATATGGTAGTGTGATGGTTTTGACCGGAGTATCAAGTGGTTGTTTCTGTATGGATGGAGAAACAGCTTGGCGGATGGTACGGTCAGAGTATCCATTCCTTTTGAGAGCCAGGTGTACATGTTTTAATTCACTGGTCAGGTGGTGTTGGTCCGAAATGCAATGAGCCCTATGGTATAAAGTTTGATGAGAGAATTCTTCTGAGCTGGGTGGTGGTGGGAATCAGGTTTCAAGTAGGAATCTGTGTGGGTGGGTTTCCTGTATACAGAATGCCCCAATGAGCCATCAGGTCTCCTCTCAAACAGAACATCCAAGAATGGTAGCTTGCCATCTTTCTCCACTTCCATGGTGAATTTGATGGCGGGATGTCTGGAATTGATGTGGTGTAGGAAAAGGTTCAGAGCTGGGAGGCCATGTGGCCAAATGACGAAAGTGTCATCCACATATCTCTTCCACAGTGAAGGTCTGAGGGTGGAAGTCTGGATGGCGTCCGATTCAAATTTCTCCATGAAAACATTGGCTATCACTGGTGACAAGGGGGATCCCATGGGGGTACCCTCATTTTGCTTGTAGAAGGAACCATTCCAAGTAAAGTAGGTGTTGGTGAGGCAGTGCCTGACCAGCGTAGGTACCTCGGGGTTTAGTCCATGTTGTACCAAATTTTCAATTATTTCAATGGTATCAGGTACCGGGACCTTAGTGAACAAGGAGACCATATCGAAGCTGACAAGGATATCGTCAGGGGACAGTACAACGTCCTTGACCATAGAAACCAAATGAGCTGAGTTAAGTACTGCTGAGGAGGTCTTGCCAGTGAAAGGCAGCAAGGTATCCGACAGAAAACGTGCCAGCTTGTAGGTAGGGGAGTTGATCGTGGATACGATGGGTCGTCGTGGAGTGCCTTCCTTATGAATCTTTGGAAGACCATAGAATCTAGGTGGTCTTGCAGCAGAAGGTTTTAGGGAGGGACGTTTAGTTGGTTCGATTAGGGAGGTCGAACTTGTGATGATCTTGTTGGTTTTTATAGTTAAGCTATTAGTAGCGTCATTTTTAATTTTTGAGTAACTACCATAATCGAGTAGGTCCTGAATTTTATTGTTGTATGAGTTTTTATCCATAATTACAGTGGCATTGCCCTTGTCGGCTGAGAGGATGACTATATCATGTCTCTCTTTTAATTTCGCGAGTTCAGAGCGTTCATCTTTGCTGATGTTGCTAACGGGTTTCTTAGCATTCTTAAGAATAGTAGCTATTTCAGCTCTCGCGACGTCTGCTTGGATGTGTCCTATACCTTTGAGGGCTACATCGACCTGAGAAATGATATCATCTATCAGTATATGTTTTGGGGTGACAGTGAAATTTAGTCCTTTAGCCAATACTGTTTTCAGATTGTCCGAAATCGGGGTGCTACTCTGATTGATAACAATTTTGTTAACATCTAGTTTTGTTATATGTGGAACTGGGTTCTTCTTTGATAGGTGGTTGAATTTAGAAATCAGGTTAGCTTTGCATTTTATTGAAAGTGAATCGGCAGAAGAAGCAGTCATGTTGTCTACGTGATTCCAATCAGAAGGTGACATTTTTTGTGTTAACGTTAAATGAGCTTGTAGGAGAGTCCTGTCTAAAGTATCGAGTTCAAAACGGAGTAGTCTTATCCTCTCTGAGATTAAAGAGAGGCTGGCCTTAAACAGAATCTGTTTAGAATTTGGTGAGGACACAGCAGCAGAAGTGAGTGTGAAGGCGATTATATCGTGATCACTGTTACAATGCTGTGGGTGATCACGATATAATTTTCTCCGATACCAAGGTTCTTTGCAAACCCACGGGTTTTTATCAGAGATTTGTTCACGAGGCAATTCAGATTTACAAACACAGACACAATTTCAACCGAGAAGATGGTTTCAAATTAAGCAACCATTGGAAAGATGTTCTAAATCGAACCAAACATTAAACTAATTTTCAATGGTACAGTATATTTTTTCAAGTAGTGGTACCCCAAACTTTCGCAGCTCTTAAAATTCCCTTTTCACACCATCAATAGGTAAACTCCCCCTCCCCCCCTCGCCGACCTGCACATGTTCACCCCCTCTACACCGTTCACCATGCTAAGTCCGCCAATTAAATGCTAATTTTTATGCTAATTCCTTTGTCAAGGCACCTTAATACCTCTCACACAGCTTAAAGGTCACGGTCTGAGCGTGGCTGTGTTCACTCCAGCGCTGTCCTCGAGACAGTCTGGTCCCTTCACCTGATGAAGGCCGCTTGTGTTGTGGCCAAAACGTCGTGATTTTTCATTTTTTATTTTATTTTTTACCTACGTGGTGACTTTTACCGAATAGACCCAAAGAACATGGATCCTTGCAGTCACGAAAGCTTCAAATCTCTCCCGGATTACCGGGCTCCTCGCCGGGGGATCACGGAGAGTATCCGCGGTGTCGTCCTGTCGGCCGTCGCCGGAAGCTCACGACCGAGCGCCGATCTCCCGTTCACCGTCACTCACGATGAGAGACCCCCCCGAAGGGCAGCGGTCCCTCACCCCCCCCCCCCCCCCCCCGCGCTCACCCAGAGAGCACAACCCACCGTCTCCCGGGAGTGAACAGCGACCGCAGATTTTGAGGTTGCTGATTCTCCATCACAGCCGGCCTTCGCGCTCAACAAATTTTCTTGCTGTGGGTTTTCACGCCTGATGATGACGATTGCTTCTCGTGTCGCGGTCGAAACGTCGTGGGAATTTTCTCGTTTTATACTTTTATCATTTTATTGTTTCCCTTCTAACGTGGTGACTTTACCGAAAGAACCAAGAATATGCAGGAGACGTCGTCGCAGCGATGCGCTGTTTCGAACCCACGACCTCCTGTACACGAGGCGAGGTGGTTAACATCTCGTGGCAAACAGTGGCGCGCGTGGGAAAGCCCAACCGGACCCACGCGCGGGGCGTGATTTTCGTCGGGCCTCGTCACGGTACGCGCAAAATTAACCGCGTCCGTTGTTCGCCCGCCCACCCGGTCCACTCACTCGCTCACCCCACCAACATACACACTCACCCACCCACCCACAAACCAACCAAACCCACCCACCCAACCCACCCACCCAACCCACTCGCCCACCCACAAACCAACCAACCCACCCACCCACCCAACCCACTCGCCCACCCACAAACCAACAAGCCCACTCGCCCACCCACAAACCAACCAACCCACCCACCCACCCAACCCACTCGCCCACCCACATACCAACCAACCCACCCACCCAACCCACTCGCCCACCCACAAACCAACCAACCCACTCGCCCACCCACAAACCAACCAACCCACCCACCCACCCAACCCACTCGCCCACCCACAAACCAACCAACCCACTCGCCCACCCACAAACCAACCAACCCACTCGCCCACCCACAAACCAACCAACCCACCCACCCAACCCACTCGCCCACCCACAAACCAACCAACCCACCCACCCACCCAACCCACTCGCCCACCCACAAACCAACTAACCCACCCACCCACCCAACCCATTCGCCCACCCACAAACCAACCAACCCACTCGCCCACCCACAAACCAACCAACCTACCCACTCGCCCACCCACAAACCAACCAACCCACTCGCCCACCCACAAACCAACCAACCCACCCACCCAACCCACTCGCCCACCCACAAACCAACCAACCCACCCACCCAACCCACTCACCCACCCACCCACAAACCAACCAAACCCACCCAACCCACTCGCCCACCCACAAACCAACCAACCCACCCACCCAACCCACTTGCCCACCCACAAACCAACCAACCCACCCACCCAACCCACTCACCCACCCACCCACAAACCAACCAAACCCACCCAACCCACTCGCCCACCCACAAACCAACCAACCCACCCACCCAATCCACCCCACCCACCACCACCACCACCACCACCCCCCCCACCCACCACGCAGGCCTCTGCACGGGCTTCGGAGACCCCCACATGCGCACGTTCGACGGAGCCACCTACACGTTGCTGGACCCGTGCAGCTACGTGCTGCTGCAGGAGAAGCGGAAGACCTACGACCTCTCCGTCAGCGCCGACTACTTCGACTGCGACGCCCGCCACCACGTGTCCTGCCCCCGCACGCTCGTCATCGCCTACAAGGGCAACGAGCTGCGTGTCGGCCTGGCCTCCGAGGTCGACTTCGCCCTGCGCAAGGTCAGCCACGCCCCCACCCCCCCCCACTGGCCACGCCCCCCACCCCGGCCCCGCCCCCGCTCCCTGGCTCCGCCCCCGGCCTGGCCCCGCCATCGCGACCAATGTGATTCGCGAGAGTGTAATGTAGTGTTATAGTGTGTGGTATTTGTATAGCTTTGTATAGTTTAGTGTATGGTGTAGTTTTTTATAGTGGTGTGGTGTATCGTTTGGTGTATAGTGTATAGTGTAGCGTATAGTAGTGTGTAGTTTAGTGTATCGTAGTGTGTAGTGTATAGTGTAATATATAGTGTAGCGTATAGTAGTGTGTAGTGTATAGTGTAGTGTATGGTGTAATATATAGTGTAGCGTATAGTAGTGTGTAGTGTATAGTGTAGTGTATAGTGTAGTTTATAGTAGTGTATAGTAGTGTGTAGTGTAGTGTATAGTCGTGTGTAGTGTATAGTGTAATATATAGTGTAGCGTATAGTAGTGTGTAGTGTAATATATAGTGTAGTGTATAGTGTAGTGTATAGTAGTGTGTAGTGTATAGTGTAGTGTATAGTAGTGTGTAGTGTATAGCGTAGTTTATCTAGCATCTGAAAGCGCGCTGACATGGTGACCATCTGTTCGGTGGCCCAGATCCAAAGCCGTCGCCGTCGCCGCCGCTACTGCCGCTGGGCGGATGAAATCGTCGTTTGTCAATTTGTAACGTTTCAGCAACGCCTCTCGCCCCCTCAGATCCAGCTGAACGGGCAGACTAAGAAGGCTCCGTTCACCGACAAGGGCTTCCAGGTGACGTCGGTGAAGACGGACGACTTCGTGGTGATCGCCGACGTCCGAGTCAAGATCCAGTTCAACGGCCTGGGCTTCCTCATCGACGTCCCCAGGGAGCTGTTCGGAGACAACACGGAGGGACAGTGCGGTACGTGGGGGCACGGGGGGGGAGAGTGGGGGGAGAGGGGGGTGAGGGGGAGAGGGGGGGGGGGGAGGGGGGGGAGAGGGGGGGGGGAGGGGCAGCGGCCGCCGCATTTGAAGCGGCCGAATCTTCACTCTCATCCACCCCTCCAATCTCCTCCAACTCCTGCTCCTCCTCCTGCTCCTGCTCCTGCTCCTCCTCCTGCTCCTCCTCCTCCCTACCTCCCCCTCCCTACCTCCTCCACCTCCTCCTCTTCCCCTCCTCCCCACCTCCTCCTCTTCCTCCTCCTCCTCCTGCTCCTCCTCCTCCCCACCTCCCCCTCCCTACCTCCAACTTCTCCTCCTGCTCCTCCTCCTCCTCCCTACCTCCTCCACCTCCTCCTCTTCCCCTCCTCCCCACCTCCTCCTCCCCACCTCTTCCTCCTCCTCTTCCCCTCCTCCTCCCCACCTCCTCCTTCTCTTCCTCCTCCTGCTCCTCCTCCCTACCTCCTCAACCTCCTCCTCTTCCCCTCCTCCCCACCTCTTCCTCCTCCTCTTCCCCTCCTCCTCCTCCCCACCTCCTCCTTCTCCTCCTCTTCCTCCTCCTCCTCCCCACCTCCTCCTCTTCCCCTCCTCCTCCTCCCCACCTCCTCCTTCTCCTCCTCTTCCTCCTCCTCCTCCCCACCTCCTCCTCTTCACCTCTTCCTCCTCCTCCTCCTCTTCCCCCCCCCCCCCCCCCCCCACCCCCCCACCCCACCCCCACCCCCCCACCCCCCCCCACCCCCCCCCAGGCACGTGCAACAACCGCCGAGGTGACGACTGTGCGGGTCGCGACGGGGCGTCTCGCTCGGCCGACTGCTGCACGCGAGCGGCCCAGGACTGGCTCGTGGCGGACGCCTCCACGCCGCTCTGCGCCAGGGCGGTGCCGCTGCCTCCGGGCGCCGGCTGCGAGGTGCCGCCGGTGGTGCCGGCCGGTGGTGCCGGCCGGTGGTGCCGGCGGTGGTGCCGGCGGTGGTGCCGGACAGGACCTGCGCCGACGCCAAGATCTGCGACGGGCTGATCCTCCAGTGAGCCGCGGGGGAGAGGCAGGCGGAGAGAGATGAGACGGAGAGAGAGAGAGATGAGAGGAGAGAGAGATGAGGAGAGAGATGAGGAGAGAGATGAGGAGAGAGAGGAGGAGAGAGAGGAGGAGAGAGATGAGGAGAGAGAGGAGAGAGAGGAGGAGAGAGATGAGGAGAGAGATGAGGAGAGAGAGGAGGAGAGGGGGAGAGAGAGGAGGAGAGAGAGGAGGAGAGAGATGAGGAGGAGAGAGATAAGGAGAGAGAGGAGGAGAGAGATGAGGAGAGAGAGGAGGAGAGAGATGAGAGAGAGAGATGAGAGAGAGAGATGAGGAGAGAGAGGAGGAGAGATGAGAGAGAGGAGAGAGATGAGGAGAGAGGAGAGAGAGGAGGAGAGAGAGATGAGAAAGAGGAGAGAGATGAGGAGAGAGATGAGGAGAGAGAGGAGGAGAGAGATGAGAGAGATGAGGAGAGAGATAAGGAGAGAGATGAGGAGAGAGGAGAGAGATGAGGAGAGAGATAAGGAGAGAGATGAGGAGAGAGAGGAGAGAGATGAGGAGAGAGATGAGAGAGAGGAGAGAGATGAGGAGAGAGATGAGGAGAGAGATAAGGAGAGAGATGAGGAGAGAGATGAGGAGAGAGAGGAAAGAGATGAGGAGAGAGAGGAGGAGAGAGAGGAGGAGAGAGATGAGGAGGAGAGAGATAAGGAGAGAGAGGAGGAGAGAGATGAGGAGAGAGAGGAGGAGAGAGATGAGAGAGAGAGAGATGAGAGAGAGAGATGAGGAGAGAGAGGAGGAGAGATGAGAGAGAGGAGAGAGATGAGGAGAGAGGAGAGAGAGGAGGAGAGAGAGAGGAGAGAGATGAGAAAGAGGAGAGAGATGAGGAGAGAGATGAGGAGAGAGAGGAGGAGAGAGATGAGAGAGATGAGGAGAGAGATAAGGAGAGAGATGAGGAGAGAGGAGAGAGATGAGGAGAGAGATAAGGAGAGAGATGAGGAGAGAGAGGAGAGAGATGAGGAGAGAGATGAGAGAGAGGAGAGAGATGAGGAGAGAGATGAGGAGAGAGATAAGGAGAGAGATGAGGAGAGAGATGAGGAGAGAGAGGAAAGAGATGAGGAGAGAGAGGAGGAGAGAGAGGAGGAGAGAGATGAGGAGAGAGATGAGGAGAGAGATGAGGAGAGAGATGAGGAGAGAGATGAGGAGAGAGAGGAGCGAGAGAGATGAGGAGAGAGATGAGGAGAGAGATGAGGAGAGAGAGGAGGAGAGAGGGAGAGAGAGGAGAGAGATGAGGAGAGAGATGAGGAGAGAGAGGAGAGAGAGGAGGAGAGAGATGAGGAGAGAGATAAGGAGAGAGATGAGGAGAGAAATGAGGAGAGAGATGAGGAGAGAGATGAGGAGAGAGAGGAGAGAGAGAGAGGAGAGAGATGATGAGAGAGATGATGAGAGAGATGAGGAGAGAGATGAGGAGAGAGATGAGGAGAGAGATGAGGAGAGAGATGAGGAGAGAGATGAGGAGAGAGAGGAGCGAGAGAGATGAGGAGAGAGATGAGGAGAGAGATGAGGAGAGAGAGGAGGAGAGGGATGAGGAGAGAGGGAGAGAGAGGAGGAGAGAGATGAGGAGAGAGATGAGGAGAGCGATGAGGAGAGAGATGAGGAGAGAGAGAGAGGAGAGAGATGAGGAGAGAGATTAGGAGAGAGATGAGGAGAGAGATGAGGAGAGAGATAAGGAGAGAGATGAGGAGAGAGATGAGGAGAGAGATGAGGAGAGAGATGAGGAGAGAGATGAGGAGAGAGAGGAGCGAGAGAGATGAGGAGAGAGATAAGGAGAGAGATAAGGAGAGAGATGAGGAGAGAGATGAGGAGAGAGATGAGGAGAGAGATGAGGAGAGAGATAAGGAGAGAGATGAGGAGAGAGATGAGGAGAGAGATAAGGAGAGGGATAAGGAGAGAGATAAGGAGAGAGAGAGGAGAGAGATGAGAGAGATGAGAGAGGAGAGAGATGAGGAGAGAGATGAGAGAGGAGAGAGATGAGGAGAGAGAAGAGGAGACGGAGAGAGATAAGAAGAGAGAGATAAGAGAGAGATAAGAGAGATAAGACGAGAGATGAGAGAGATAAAGAGAGAGATAAGGAGAGAGATAAGAGAGAGATAAGTGAGATAAGAAGAGAGATGAGAGAGATAAAGAGAGAGATAAGAAGACAGATGAGAGAGATAAAGAGAGAGATAAGAATAGAGATGAGAGAGATAAAGAGAGATATTTTTGTGGATGTCCTCAGCCTCGAGGATGACATCACGAGTCTGGTGCTGGGGCGGGGGGGGGGGTCAGGTGAGGGGTCAGGTGAGGGGTCAGGTGACGGTGTCAGGTGACGGTGTCACGTGACGGTGTCACGTGACGTGTCAGGTGACGGTGTCAGGTGACGGTGTCAGGTGACGGTGTCAGGTGACTGTGTCAGGTGACGGTGTCAGGTGACGGTGTCAGGTGACGGTGTCAGGTGACTGTGTCAGGTGACGGTTTTGGTGATGGTGTCAGGAGACGGTGTCAGGTGACGGTGTCAGGTGACGGTGTCAGGTGACGGTGTCAGGTGACTGTGTCAGGTGACGGTTTTGGTGACGGTGTCAGGAGACGGTGTCACGTGACCGTGTCAGGTGACGGTGTCAGGTGACGGTGTCAGGTGACGGTGTCAGGTGACGGTGTCAGGTGACGGTGTCAGGTGACCTTTGTGTCAGGTGACGGTGTCAGGTGACGGTGTCAGGTGACCGTGTCACGTGACGGTGTCAGGTGACGGTGTCAGGAGACGGTGTCAGGTGACGGTGTCAGGAGACGGTGTCAGGTGACGGTGTCAGGTGACCGTGTCACGTGACGGTGTCACGTGACGGTGTCAGGTGACCGTGTCAGGTGACGGTGTCAGGTGACGGTGTCAGGTGACGGTGTCAGCTGACGGTGTCAGGTGACGGTGTCAGGTGACGGTGTCAGGAGACGGTGTCAGGTGATGGTGTCAGGTGACGGTTTTGGTGACGGTGTCAGGTGACGGTGTCACGTGACGGTGTCAGGTGACGGTGTCACGTGACGTGTCAGGTGACGGTGTCAGGTGACGGTGTCACGTGACGGTGTCAGGTGACGGTGTCAGGTGACGGTGTCAGGTGACGGTGTCAGGAGACGGTGTCACGTGACGGTGTCAGGTGACGGTGTCAGGTGACGGTGTCAGGTGACGGTGTCAGGTGACGGTGTCAGGAGACGGTGTCAGGTGACGGTGTCAGGTGACAGTGTCAGGTGACGGTGTCAGGTGATGGTGTCAGGTGACGGTTTTGGTGACGGTGTCAGGTGACGGTTTTGGTGACGGTGTCAGGTGACGGTGTCACGTGACGGTGTCAGGTGACGGTGTCACGTGACGTGTCAGGTGACGGTGTCAGGTGACGGTGTCACGTGACGGTGTCAGGTGACGGTGTCAGGTGACGGTGTCAGGTGACGGTGTCAGGAGACGGTGTCAGGTGACGGTGTCAGGTGACAGTGTCAGGTGACGGTGTCAGGAGACAGTGTCAGGTGATGGTGTCAGGTGACGGTGTCAGGTGACGGTGTCACGTGATGGTGTCAGGTGACGGTTTTGGTGACGGTGTCAGGTGACGGTGTCACGTGACGGTGTCAGGTGACGGTGTCACGTGACGTGTCAGGTGACGGTGTCAGGTGACGGTGTCAGGTGACGGTGTCAGGTGACGGTGTCAGGTGATGGTGTCAGGTGACGGTTTTGGTGACGGTGTCAGGTGACGGTGTCACGTGACGGTGTCAGGTGACGGTGTCACGTGACGGTGTCAGGTGACGGTGTCACGTGACGTGTCAGGTGACGGTGTCAGGTGACGGTGTCACGTGACGGTGTCAGGTGACGGTGTCAGGTGACGGTGTCAGGTGACGGTGTCAGGAGACGGTGTCACGTGACGGTGTCAGGTGACGGTGTCAGGTGACGGTGTCAGGTGACGGTGTCAGGTGACGGTGTCACGTGACGTGTCAGGTGACGGTGTCAGGTGACAGTGTCAGGTGACGGTGTCAGGTGACGGTGTCAGGAGACAGTGTCAGGTGATGGTGTCAGGTGACGGTTTTGGTGACGGTGTCAGGTGACGGTGTCACGTGACGGTGTCAGGTGACGGTGTCACGTGACGTGTCAGGTGACGGTGTCAGGTGACGGTGTCAGGTGACGGTGTCAGGTGACGGTGTCAGGAGACGGTGTCAGGTGACCGTGTCACGTGACGGTGTCAGGTGACGGTGTCAGGTGACCGTGTCAGGTGACGGTGTCAGGTGACGGTGTCAGGTGACGGTGTCACGTGACGGTGTCAGGTGACGGTGTCACGTGACGTGTCAGGTGACGTTGTCAGGTGACAGTTCAGGTGACGGTGTCAGGTGACGGTGTCAGGTGACGGTGTCAGGAGACAGTGTCAGGTGATGGTGTCAGGTGACGGTTTTGGTGACGGTGTCAGGTGACGTGTCAGGAGACGGTGTCAGGTGACAGTGTCAGGTGACGTGTCAGGTGACGGTGTCAGGTGACGTGTCAGGTGACGGTGTCAGGTGACGGTGTCAGGTGACGGTGTCAGGAGACGGTGTCAGGTGACGGTGTCACGTGACGGTGTCAGGTGACGGTGTCACGTGACGGTGTCAGGTGACGGTGTCAGGTGACGGTGTCAGATGACGGTGTCACGTGACGGTGTCAGGAGACAGTGTCAGGTGATGGTGTCACGTGACGTGTCAGGTGACGTGTCAGGTGACGGTGTCAGATGACGGTGTCACGTGACGGTGTCAGGTGACGTGTCAGGTGACGGTGTCAGGTGACGGTGTCAGGTGACGGTGTCAGGAGACGGTGTCAGGTGACGGTGTCAGGTGACGGTGTCACGTGACGGTGTCAGGTGACGGTGTCAGGTGACTTTGTCAGGTGACGGTGTCAGGTGACGGTGTCAGGCGACGGTGTCAGGTGACGGTGTCAGGTGACGGTGTCACGTGATGGTGTCACGTGACGTGTCAGGTGACGGTGTCAGGTGACGGTGTCAGGTGACGGTGTCAGGTGACGGTGTCAGGTGACGGTGTCACGTGACCGTGTCACGTGACGTGTCAGGTGACGGTGTCAGGTGACGGTGGTGCCGCCTCCCTTCACCTTGACTCACCCCCCCTCTCCCCGCCCGCCCCCCCAGGACGTTCTCCGCTTGTGCCTCCACGGTGGACCTGGCCCCGTTCCGAGCGGGCTGTGCCTACGACCACTGCGTCGCCAACCGCCCGCCCGTCGACTGCTCCAGTGCTCAGGTGGCCGCCGCCGAGTGCGGCCGCGCCGGCGCCTGCGTCGACTGGAGGCCCCGGGCCGCCGGGAGATGCCGTGAGACGCCGCCGCCGCCGCCAATCTTCACCATCGTCGTCATCGTTGCCATCGTTACCATCGTCATCGTTACCATCGTTACCATCGTTACCATCGTTACCATCGCTACCATCGTCATCGTTACCATCGTTACCATCGTCATCGTTACCATCGCTACCATCGCTACCATCGCTACCATCGTCATCGTTACCATTGCTACCATCGTCATCGTTACCATCGTTACCATCGCTACCATCGTTACCATCGTTACCATCGCTACCATCGTTACCATCGTTACCATCGTTACCATCGCTACCATCGTCATCGTTACCATCGCTACCATCGTTACCATCGCTACCATCGTCATCGTTACCATCGTCATCGTTACCATCGCTACCATCGCTACCATCGCTACCATCGTCATCGTTACCATCGCTACCATCGTTACCATCGCTACCATCGTCATCGTTACCATCGTTACCATCGTTACCATCGTTACCATCGCTACCATCGTTACCATCGTCATCGTTACCATCGCTACCATCGTTACCATCGTTACCATAGTTACCATCGTTACCATCGTTACCATCGCTACCATCGTTACCATCGTTACCATCGTCATCGTTACCATCGTTACCATCGCTACCATCGTCATCGCTACCATCGCTACCATCGCTACCATCGTCATCGTTACCATCGCTACCATCGCTACCATCGTTACCATCGTCATCGTTACCATCGCTACCATCGTCATCGTTACCATCGTTACCATCGCTACCATCGTCATCGTTACCATCGCTACCATCGTTACCATCGTTACCATCGCTACCATCGTCATCGTTACCATCGCTACCATCGCTACCATCGTCATCGTTACCATCGCTACCATCGCTACCATCGTCATCGTTACCATCGCTACCATCGTTACCATAGTTACCATCGCTACCATCGTTACCATCGTTATCGTTACCATCGTTACCATCGTTACCATCGTTACCATCGTCATCGTTACCATCGCTACCATCGCTACCATCGCTACCATCGTCATCGTTACCATCGTTACCATCGTTACCTCTACCATCGTTACCATCGCTACCATCGTTACCATCGTTATCGTTACCATCGTTACCATCGTTACCATCGTTACCATCGCTACCATCGTTACCATCGTTACCATCGTCATCGTTACCATCGTTACCATCGCTACCATCGCTACCATCGTTACCATCATCATCGTTACCATCGCTACCATCGTCATCGTTACCATCGTTACCATCGTTACCATCATCACCTCTACCATCGTTACCATCGCTACCATCGTTACCATCGTTACCATCGTTACCATCGCTACCATCGTCATCGTTACCATCGGTACCATCGTCATCATTACCATCGTTACTATCGTTACCATCGCTACCATCGTTACCATCGTTACCATCGTTACCATCGCTACCATCGTTACCATCGTTACCATGGCTACCATCGTTACCATCGCTACCATCGTCATCGTTACCATCGTTACCATCGCTACCATCGTCATCGTTACTATCGTTACCATCGCTACCATCGTTACCATCGTTACCATCGTTACCATCGCTACCATCGTTACCATCGTTACCATGGCTACCATCGTTACCATCGCTACCATCGTCATCGTTACCATCGTTACCATCGTTACCATCGCTACCATCGTTACCATCGTTACCATCGCTACCATCGTTACCATCGTTACCATCGTTACCATCGCTACCATCGTTACCATCGCTACCATCGTCGCCGCCGCCACCACCACTGCCACCACTGCCACCACCACTGCCTACCCCCACTACCACTGCCGCCACCACCACCAACAACAACAACAACAACCGCCATTCACCACTAAGTGGCGGTGACGTCACCACGACGCTTGCGGAGGAGGTCACTGGGCAGACCCAGCAGGTGCCACGGGTCGACTGACTGAGATGACTGGCTGGTGCACCACCTGTGCCCCCTACTGTGCCAACCTGCTGTGCTTTAGCCACCTGGCGCTCCGCTCGTTGTTCTGAGCGTCGCTCCTCCGCCCTCCGTTGTTGTTGGAGGGCGACTGCCTCCAACTGCCCAGTAGCATCGTTCACGAGCCTCCTCCACAGAGGCCGATCTTGACACCGCTGATACCAGTCATCGGCAAGTCCACTACGTGGTCGATAAAGATGTTAAATGATGTGGGAGCCAGAGGACATTCTTGTCGCACCCCAAGGTGTACAGGGAATGGCTCCGACTCCCGGCCACGTAGTTTTACCCGGGCCCGCTCACCATCATGAAGGTCCTATATTATTGTGAGCAGAGGGTCAGGGACTCCGAAAGCACCAAGAACAACCCAGAGCCCAGGTCTACTGATGGTATCATAGGCCTTGACCGGGTCAATAAAGCAGAGATGTAGGTCTTGTTGGAATTCCCTACACCTCTGCTGTAGCAAACGGACAGAAAATATGGCGTCTGTGCAGGACCGCCCTATCCTGAAACCGCTTTGGGGCTCCGCAAGCCTCTCCTCAGCGTGCTTGGCAAGGCGATGCTGAATAATCCTTGCCAGGACCTATCCCAGCACACTGAGGAGTGAGATGCCCCTGTAGTTGTTACAGTCTGTGTGGTCCCCCTTCTTAAAGAGGGGGACTCAAGGGCATCCTTCTAATCCTGCAGAACCTGTCTAGTGTTCCAGACTGTTGTTATGATGTCATATAGGGCAGTCTGTGCACAAATGCCACCCTCCATTGGCATTTTGCTTGGGAGATTATCTCTGCCCGGTGCCTTTCCTGGTTTCAGACTCTGAATCGCCTTTAGTATTTCCTCAATAGATGGCATCTCAGCGAGCCACTCACAGGGGGTGACTTCTTCCTCCAATATTTGAGGCATGCAAGCCTCAGCAGGGTCATCCCCACTTTGTCCCACGATGTTTTCCATGTCAAGGGATTTCCCCTCCCCCAGGACTTCACAGAAATGCTCAGCAAATCTGCAAACCTGTTCCTGGGGGTCAGAGATTAGATCGCCATTTTTTCCCCTAATGATGGTAATAGGTGTGGTGCTGCAGACCGCATCCATTATTTTTCGTCTCCCCCCTCCTCTTTTCCGAATATAGATGGACTCGTCCATCTGAACAAACTGTCAAATCGCTCTCCGTGGTGCTAACGTTAATAATAAACCGCCACTTTTTTTCAAATTTTCTTGCTCTGGTTTTCACACCTGATGATGATTGCTTGTGTTGCAGTCGAAACGTCGTGATAATTTTATTGTTTTATATTTTTTTATTTTCTTGTTTCCCTTCTAACGCGGTGACTTTACCCAAAGAACCAAGAATATGAATCCCTGCAGTCACGAAAGCTTTAAATCAACATTTACACTAGGCATTGTCTGTCTGGGTGGTATGTAGAGTTAATTTCAGGGTTTCAGTTTATTTTTCAGCAATATTGATAATGGCATGCAAAATAATGATTACTGAAACCACCCACTCTCGTATGCTTTGTGAAGTTTGGTCAAACAACTCCCGTGACCGACACAGCATGGTGAAGTATTAATCTCGCTGTGGTTGACGAAGGGCTGTGACTTTTAGAAGTATATATTTATTCTTGGTTCTTTCGGTCAAGTCACCACGTAGAAGGGAAACAATAAACTATAAAAAATATATATATAACAATAAAATTCTCACGACGTTTTTTCGACTGCAACACAAGCAGCAATCATCATCAGGTGTGAAAACCACCGGCAAGAATTTTTTCTTGACGATGATTGCTGCTTTGTGTTGCAGTCGAAAAAAACGTCGTGAGAATTTTATTGTTATATATTTGAATTATTTTATTGTTTCCCTTCTAACGCGGTGACTTTACCGAAAGAACCAAGAATATGAATCCCTGCAGTCACGAAAGCTTTAAATCAACATTTAAATTGTTTCCTCAGGGCCTGGCTCCTTCCTTCACGGTCGGGTGTCACCTTTGTCTCTCTCAATGATGGTCACAGTCTCTCCCGTTGTGGTTTTATTGCTACCACGTGCTTCTGGAAGACAAAGGCGGCTGGGAGGCTTTCTCTATGGAATACATTTTATCTTGGTCATGTGATTGACCTATTTCGCCTCATCTCTTCTGGATGACCCTCGATTTAATACTTCAGAATTATTGATTGGTTTATGTTTCCCAAGATTCGTGATTTAGCATTGTTATGACCACGTACAGTATGTTCCTAGGGTTTTATTAACTTTCGTTCTCCCGTCTGTATCCAGGGAAGGGATCCGTGCTGTTATAGTCGAGTTATATTTTGATGTCCTGAGGTTTAGAGGTATAACTAAGTTTCAGTTAAGCTTCTTGACTGCTGGAATTCATATTCCTCGTTATTTTTTGGTAAAGTCACGTAGATAGCAAAATACAATAGAAATTAAGGTGAATAACATTAGTATTAAAATAATATATGAGAAGTAATAACCCACTGATGTAGATTGTAGCCTGGTTTTTAATCGGAGTGAGTGTGTTGGCAGTCTATACTGTCCACTCATTCGTGTCGCTAAGTTTTTGGACTTTCCTGTTAAACTAAAATAACCCCCAAAAAAACCTCGTCTGCATGGTTTTCACCGCCCGTTGAAGCTTGTGAGCCTGTTTCTTTTGTACGGATTTTGAAACCGTGTAGCGATTGTCCCAGAATCTCATTAGCAATTCACCCCCTTCTAATTCTTGGTTCTTTCGTAGAAGGGAAACAATAAAATAATACAAATCTTAAACAATAAAATTATCACGACGTTTCGACTGCAACACGAGCAGCAATCATCATCAGGTGTGAAAAGCACAGCAAGACAATTTTAAAAAAGTGGCGTTTTAAAAAAAAATGGTTTCCCTTCTAACGTGGTGACTTTACCGAAAGAACCAAAAATATGAATCCCTGCAGTCACGAAAGCTTTAAATCAAAAATTCCCCCCCCCCTTCTCTTTTGTTTTGGGTTCATTATCTTTTATGGCTTATCTCCGGCTGCCTGTTTCCGAGTGGGGAGGGCAGCTGCTGTGAGGGGAGTGAGGGGTTCGCATCACCCCGGTTTGCCCCAAGCGACACTGTGATTGATTATTAAAAAAATATATTGGCAGAATTATTCTTAATATAACTTTTGGAAAAAGGCCTATATATATACACAACAGGCTTACAGCTTCCCACACCTCACCGCCACGCTCTCACGCCTCCTCCATTATTTTGTTCAAAAGAAGAGCCACCTGCTGTTGTTTGGCAGTCTGCTGCCCCGAGTAGAGAACTGTCCACCCCTCATGGTGGCAGGAGCCAGAGCCGGTCCACCGGACCTCCTGAATACCACAGAGATCCAGGCGGTACCATTCCAGCTTCCGACAGAGGAGTGGCAGCCTCTCCTCCCCAGTGAGCGTTTGAACATTCCACGTGGCCACACGAAGTGGCTTTTCGTTGTTTCTGGAGGAGCCCCGAGGGTAGAGATTCAATCTCCTGGCTCCGCCAAATGGGGTTTGGCCAGGAGACGTCATAGACGCCTGTCCCCCCGGGGCCTCCGGCACAAACTTATTAATTAGATATTTTTTACGTGGTTTTGTGGTAATTAATTGAAGGTGGATGGGGTTACCAGCCCCTCGCACCCGTCCAGAGCCCCCCGTTTAGCCACTGTGGTGGTCACAGACGCCATGAGGGGAGGAGCCAATCGGAATTGGCCCTCCCCCCCACAACACTGTCCATGACAACGTTGCCTATCCGGCACCACGAGGAGGTAGGGGGTTGTTTTTTGCCGGACCGCAACCACCACCACTGCCACCACCACCACTGCCACCACCACCACTGCCACCATCACCTCTGCCACCACCACCACTGCCATCATCACCACCACCACTGCCACCATCACCACTGCCACCACTGCCACCATCACCACCACTGCCACCATCACCACCACTGCCACCACCACCACCACCACCACTGCCACCACCACTGCCACCATCACCACCACCACAGCCGCCGCCACCACCACCACCACCGCTCGTGATTCCGGTGAGGATTCTCGCGGCAGTAATGGAGCCGGTGAAGATGATGGTGTTGGCAGTGATGATGATGTTGTTGTTGATGTTGTTGACACTTTTGACGTTGTTGTTGTTGACAATGTTGTTGATAATGTTGTTGTTGATGTTGAAAATGTTGTTGACAATGTTGTTGACGTCATTGTTGATGTTGTTGGTCTTTTGCAGCATTCATTTGCCCAGGCAACATGATCTACAAACCGTGCGAAACGAAGATCAGCACCGTGTGCGGGATGGACAGGTGACCCCTCCCATCCCTCCCTCGCATCCCTCCCTCTCTCCTCCCTGATGGAGATGATGATGATGACGGTGGTGGTGACGATGGTGACGATGGTGATGACGATGGTGACGGGGATGATAACGAGCGTGATGATGATGGTGATGACGGTGATAATGATGGTGATGATGATGGTGATGATGATGGTAATGATGGTGATGATGATGATGATGACGACGGTGATGATGGTGATGATTTTGACGGTGACGGTGGTGATGACGGTGACGATGATGACAATGGTGATGACGATAGTGACGGTGATGATAATGAGGGTGATGATGATGATGGTGATGATGGTGATGATGATAATGACGACGGTGATGATGGTGATGATTATGACGGTGACGGTGGTGATGATGATAGTGATGATGGTGATGATGGTGGTGATGATGGTGGTGATGATGGTGGTGATGATGGTGGCGATGATAATGGTGATGGCGGTGATGATGGTCATGGTGATGATGGTTGTGATGATGATGATGATGATGGATGATGATGGTGATGATGATGGTGGTGATGATGACGATGGTGCTTATGATGGTGATGATGACAACAGTGATGATGGTGATGATAACGGTGATGATGGCGTTGATGATGATGGTGATGATGTTGCAGCTTCGACAAGAATAGCTCCTGGGTTGGTGAAGGCTGCTTCTGCCCGGATGGAGCCAAACTCTTGGAACCTGGCTCCAGTACTTGCGTGAGCAAGTGTCCAGGTGACCATAGTGGAGTGACTGTAGCATCACTCCTGTGTACACACACACACGTGTACACACACACACACGTGTACACACACACATGTGTACACACACACGTGTACACACACACACACGTGTACACACACACGTGTACACATACACGTGTACACACACACATGCACGTGTACACACACACACGTGTACACACACACACGTGTACACATAAACGTGTACACACACACGCACGTGTACACACACACGTGTACACACACACTTGTACACATACACGTGTACACACACACGTGTACACATACACGTGTACACACACACGCACGTGTACACACACACACGTAGCATCACTACTGTGTACACACACACACGTGTGCACACACACACACACACGTGTGCACACACACGGTTTCGGTTTGGTGGTTTAAACATCTTTACACGGCTGTTTGGTTGCCAGATATAAGGGGGAAACCCATTAGCATGATTTGTTACTGGCAAAGGAGATTCCGTGATGTGGTGGTGGTAGTGGTGGTGTTAGTGGTGGTGGTGGTGGTAGTGGTGGTGGTAGTGGTGGTGGTAGTGGTGGTGGTGGTGTTAGTGGTGGTGGTGGTAGTGGTGGTGGTGGTAGTGGTGGTGGTGGTGGTTGTGTTGTTGGTGGTCGTGGTAGTGGTTGTGGTGGTGGTGGTGTTAGTAGTGGTGGTGGTGTTAGTGGTGGTGTTAGTGGTAGTGGTGGTGGCGTTAGTGGTGGTAATGGTGGTGGTGTTAATGGTGGTGGTGTTAGTGGTGGTGGTGTTAGTGGTGGTAATGGTGGTGGTAGTGGTGGTGGTAGTGGTGGTAGTGGTGGTGGTGGCGGTGGTTGTGTTGGTGGTTGTGTTGTTGGTGGTCGTGGTAGTGGTGGTGGTGGTGCTGTTAGTAGTGGTGGTGGTGTTAGTGGTGGTGTTAGTGGTAGTGGTGGTGGCGTTAGTGGTGGTGTTAGTGGTGGTGGTGTTAGTGGTGGTAAGGGTGGTAGTGTTAGTGGTGGTGGTGTTAGTGGTGGTAATGGTGGTGGTGTTAGTGGTGGTGTTAGTGGTGGTGTTAGTGGTGGTAATGGTGGTGGTGTTAGTGGTGGTGGTGTTGTGGTGGTGTTAGTGGTGGTGGTGGCGGTGTTTCTGGTGGTGTGGCGTGGTGGTAATGGTGGTGGTGTTAGTGGTGGCGGTGTTAGTGGTGGTTGTGTTAGTGTTGGTGTTAGTGGTGGTAATGGTGGTGGTGTTAGTGGTGGTAGTGGTGGTAATGGTGGTGGTGTTAGTGGTGGTGGTGTTAGTGGTGGTGGTGTTAGTGGTGGTAATGGTGGTGGTGTTAGTGGTGGTGTTAGTGGTGGTAATGGTGGTGGTGTTAGTGGTGGTGTTAGTGGTGGTAATGGTGGTGGTGTTAGTGGTGGTGTTAGTGGTGGTGTTAGTGGTGGTAATGGTGGTGGTGTTAGTGGTGGTGGTGTTAGTGGTGGTGGTGTTAGTGGTGGTAATGGTGGTGGTGTTAGTGGTGGTGGTGTTAGTGGTGGTGGTGTTAGTGGTGGTGGTGTTAGTGGTGGTAATGGTGGTGGTGTTAGTGGTGGTGTTAGTGGTGGTAATGGTGGTGGTGTTAGTGGTGGTTTTAGTGGTGGTAATGGTGGTGGTGTTAGTGGTGGTGTTAGTGGTGGTGTTAGTGATGGTAGTGGTGGTGTTAGTGGTGGTGGTGTTAGTGGTGGTGTTAGTGGTGGTAATGGTGGTGGTAATGGTGGTGGTGTTAGTGGTGGTGGTGTTAGTGGTGGTGTTAGTGGTGGTAATGGTGGTGGTGTTAGTGGTGGTAATGGTGGTGGTGTTAGTGGTGGTGGTGTTAGTGGTGGTGTTAGTGGTGGTAATGGTGGTGGTGTTAGTGGTGGTGGTGTTAGTGGTGGTGGTGTTAGTGGTGGTGGTGTTAGTGGTGGTAATGGTGGTGGTGTTAGTGGTGGTGGTGTTAGTGGTGGTGGTGTTAGTGGTGGTGGTGTTAGTGGTGGTGTTAGTGGTGGTAATGGTGGTGGTGTTAGTGGTGGTGGTGTTAGTGGTGGTGGTGTTAGTGGTGGTGGTGTTAGTGGTGGTTTTAGTGGTGGTATTGGTGGTGGTGTGGCGTGGTGCTGGCCACCCACTCACCCCCCGCCCATCACGGCCACAGTGCCGGGAGCCTTCATAGGCGCTGCTGCCCTCGCCGCTGATGATGATGCTGCTGCTGATGATGCTGCTGATGCTGATGCTGCTGCTGATGCTGCTGCTGATGATGCTGATGCTGCTATTGATGCTGATGATGCTGATGCTGCTGCTAATGATGCTGATGCTGCTGATGCTGCTGATGATGCTGCTGATGATGCTGATGATGCTGATGCTGCTGATGCTGCTGATGATGCTGCTGATGATGCAGATGCTGCTGATGCTGCTGCTGATGCTGCTGCTGATGCTGCTGCTGACGGCCGTGAAGGTTGTGACCCGCGATCCTCTCCGCCTCTGTCTCGTTCCAGAATGCTGGACGGAGAGCAAGCAGCCCAAATACGTGAGCGGCGCTCTCTCTCAGATGCAGCGTCACACCGACAGCGTCACACCGACATCGTCACACCGACAGCGTCACACCAACTACACCACACCGACAGAGCCACACCGACAGCGTCACACTGACTACACCACACCGACAGCGTCACACCGACAGCGTCACACCAACAGCGTCACACCGACTACACCACACCGACAGCGTCACACCGACTACACCACACCGACAGAACCACACCGACAGTGTCACACCGACAGCGTCACACCGACATTGTCACACCCACAGCGTCACACCGACAGCGTCACACCAACAGCGTGACGCCAACAGCGTCACACCGACAGCGTCACACCGACAGCGTCACACCGACTACACCACACCGACAGCGTCACACCGACAGCGTCACACCGACAGCGTCACACCGACAGCGTCACACCGACTACACCACACCGACATCGTCACACCGACAGCGTCACACCGACAGCGTCGCACCGACAGCGTTGCACCGACTACACCACACCGACAGCGTCACACCGACAGCATCACACCCACAGCGTCACACCGACAGCGTCACACCGGCAGAGTCACACCGACAGCATCACACCCACAGCGTCACACCGACAGCGTCACACCGGCAGAGTCACACCGACAGCGTCACACCGACAGCGTCACACCGACAGCGTCACACCAACTGCGTCACACCGACAATGCAACACTGAAAACGCCACACAATGGCGTCACTCTCTGTTACCTCCTGCTGTCTCTGTGTCTCACTGTGTCTCTGTGTGTCTGTGTCTCTCTCTGTCTCTCTCTGTGTCTCTCTGTGTCTCTCTCTGTGTCCATCTGTCTCTCTGTGTCTCTGTGTCTCTCTCTGTCTCTCTGTATCTATCTGTCTCTCTGTGTCTAAGTGTCTATCTGTCTCTCTCTCTCTGTGTCTCTGTATCACTCTGTCTCACTGTGTTTCTGTCTCTCTCTGTCTCTGTGTCTCTATCTGTCTCTCTCTGTCTCTCTGTGTCTCTCTCTGTCTCTCTGTGTCTATCTGTCTTTCTCTCTGTGTCTGTCTCACTGTGTCTCACTGTGTCTCTGTGTGTCTGTGTCTCTCTGTGTCTCTCTGTGTCTCTCTCTGTGTCTATCTGTCTCTCTGTGTCTCTCTCTGTCTCTCTGTATCTATCTGTCTCTCTGTCTAAGTGTCTATCTGTCTCTCTCTCTGTGTCTCTGTATCACTGTGTCTCACTGTGTCTCACTGTGTCTCTGTCTCTGTGTCTCTATCTGTCTCTATCTGTCTCTCTGTGTCTCTCTCTGTCTCTCTGTTTATCTGTCTTTGTCTCTGTGTCTCTGTCTCACTGTGTCTCACTGTGTCTCTGTGTGTCTGTGTCTCTCTGTGTCTCTCTCTTTCTTTCTGTGTCTCTGTCTCTCTCTGTCTATCTCTGTCTCTCTGTGTCTCTCTCTGTCTCTCTGTGTCTCTGTGTCTCTCTCTGTCTCTCTGTCTCTCTCTGTGTCTCTGTCTCACTGTGTCTCACTGTGTCTCTGTCTCTCTGTGTCTCTGTCTCTCTCTGTCTCTCTGTGTCTCTCTCTGTCTCTCTGTGTCTATCTGTCTCTCTCTCTGTGTCTCTGTGTCTCTGTCTCTCTCTGTCTCTCTCTGTCGCTCTGTGTCTCTCTCTGTCTCTCTGTGTCTATATGTCTCTCTCTGTGTCTCTGTCTCTCTCTCTGTGTCTGTGTCTCACTGTGTCCCACTGTGTCTCTGTGTGTCTGTGTCTCTCTGTGTCTCTCTGTGCCTCTCTGTGTGTCTCTCTCTGTCTCTCTCTGTCTCTCTGTGTCTCTGTGTCTCTCTCTGTCTCTCTCTGTCTCTCTGTGTCTCTCTCTGTCTCTCTCTGTGTCTCTCTGTCTCTCTGTGTCTATCTGTCTCTCTCTGCGTCTTTGTCTTTCTCTGTGTCTCTGTCTCACTGTGTCTCTGTGTCTCTGTGTGTCTGTGTCTCTCTGTGTCTCTCTCTGTGTCTCTGTCTCTCTCTGTGTCTCTGTCTCACTGTGTCTCACTGTGTCTCTATCTCTCTGTGTCTCTCTCTGTCTCTCTGTCTCACTGTCTCTCTCTCTGTCTCTCTCTGTGTCTCTCTCTCTCTCTGTGTCTCTCTGTCTCTCTGTGTGTCTCTCTCTGTCTCTCTCTGTCTCTCTGTGTCTCTCTCTGTCTCTCTGCGTCTATCTGTCTCTCTCTGTGTCTCTGTCTCACTGTGTCTCTCTGTGTCTATCTGTCTCTCTGTGTCTATCTGTCTCTCTGTGTCTCTGTCTCTTTCTCTGTGTCTCTCTGTCTCTCTGTGTCTCTCTGTGTCTCTCTCTGTCTCTCTCTGTCTCTCTCTGTGTCTCTCCGTGTCTCTGTCTCTCTCTGTGTCTCTCTGTGTCTATCTGTGTCTATCTGTGTCTCTTTCTTTCTCTGTCTCTCTCTGTGTCTATCTGTGTCGATCTCTGTCTCACTGTGTCTCTCTGTCTCTCTGTGTCTCTGTGTCTCTTTGTGTCTCTCTTTGTCTTCCCGTGTCTCTCTCTGTCTCTCTCTGTGTCTCTCTCTGTGTGTCTCTCTGTGTCTCTCTGTGTCTCTCTCTGTCTCTCTCTGTCTCTCTCTCTCTGTCTCTCTGTGTCTCTCTGTGTCTCTCTCTGTCTCTCTGTGTCTCTCTCTGTGTCTCTCTGTGTCTCTCTCTCTCTGTATCTCTCTGTCTCTCTGTGTCTCTCTGTGTTTTTCTCTCTCCCTGTGTGTCTCTCTCTCTGTCTCTCTGTGTTTCTCTCTGTGTGTCTCTCTCTCTCTCTGTGTCTCTCTCTGTGTCTCTCTCTGTCTCTCTGTGTCTCTCTGTGTTTCTCTCTCTCTGTCTCTCTCTGTGTCTCTCTGTCTCTCTGTGTTTCTCTGCTCTCTGTGTTTCTCTCTCTCTCTGTGTCTCTCTCTCTGTCTCTCTCTGTCTCTCTGTGTCTCTCTGTGTCTCTGTCTCTCTCTCTGTGTCTCTGTCTCACTGTGTCTCACTGTGTCTCTGTGTCTCTCTGTGTCTCTCTGTGTCTCTCTCTCTGTGTCTCTCTGTGTCTCTCTCTCTCACTGTGTCTCTCTGTGTCTCTGTCTCTCTCTCTCTGTGTCTCACTGTGTCTCTCTGTGTCTCTCTGTCTCTCTGTGTTTCTCTCTCTCTCTGTGTCTCGCTTTCTCTCTGTCTCTCTGTGTCTCTCTGTCTCTCTGTGTTTCTCTCTCTCTCTCTGTGTCTCTCTGTGTTTCTCTCTCTCACTGTGTCTCTCTTTCTCTCTGTCTCTCTGTGTCTTTCTGTCTCTCTGTGTTTCTCTCTCTCTCTGTGTCTCTCTCTCTCTGTGTTTCTCTCTCTCTCTGTGTCTCTCTGTGTCTCTCTCTGTGTCCATCTGTCTCTCTGTGTCTCTGTGTCTCTCTCTGTCTCTCTGTATCTATCTGTCTCTCTGTGTCTAAGTGTCTATCTGTCTCTCTCTCTCTGTGTCTCTGTATCACTCTGTCTCACTGTGTTTCTGTCTCTCTCTGTCTCTGTGTCTCTATCTGTCTCTCTCTGTCTCTCTGTGTCTCTCTCTGTCTCTCTGTGTCTATCTGTCTTTCTCTCTGTGTCTGTCTCACTGTGTCTCACTGTGTCTCTGTGTGTCTGTGTCTCTCTGTGTCTCTCTGTGTCTCTCTCTGTGTCTATCTGTCTCTCTGTGTCTCTCTCTGTCTCTCTGTATCTATCTGTCTCTCTGTCTAAGTGTCTATCTGTCTCTCTCTCTGTGTCTCTGTATCACTGTGTCTCACTGTGTCTCTGTCTCTCTATGTCTCTGTGTCTCTATCTGTCTCTCTCTGTCTCTCTGTGTCTCTCTCTGTCTCTCTGTTTATCTGTCTTTGTCTCTGTGTCTCTGTCTCACTGTGTCTCACTGTGTCTCTGTGTGTCTGTGTCTCTCTGTGTCTCTCTCTTTCTTTCTGTGTCTCTGTCTCTCTCTGTCTATCTCTGTCTCTCTGTGTCTCTCTCTGTCTCTCTGTGTCTCTGTGTCTCTCTCTGTCTCTCTGTCTCTCTCTGTGTCTCTGTCTCACTGTGTCTCACTGTGTCTCTGTCTCTCTGTGTCTCTGTCTCTCTCTGTCTCTCTGTGTCTCTCTCTGTCTCTCTGTGTCTATCTGTCTCTCTCTCTGTGTCTCTGTGTCTCTGTCTCTCTCTGTCTCTCTCTGTCGCTCTGTGTCTCTCTCTGTCTCTCTGTGTCTATATGTCTCTCTCTGTGTCTCTGTCTCTCTCTCTGTGTCTGTGTCTCACTGTGTCCCACTGTGTCTCTGTGTGTCTGTGTCTCTCTGTGCCTCTCTGTGTGTCTCTCTCTGTCTCTCTCTGTCTCTCTGTGTCTCTGTGTCTCTCTCTGTCTCTCTCTGTATCTCTGTGTCTCTCTCTGTCTCTCTCTGTGTCTCTCTGTCTCTCTGTGTCTATCTGTCTCTCTCTGCGTCTTTGTCTTTCTCTGTGTCTCTGTCTCACTGTGTCTCTGTGTGTCTGTGTCTCTCTGTGTCTCTCTCTGTGTCTCTGTCTCTCTCTGTGTCTCTGTCTCACTGTGTCTCACTGTGTCTCTATCTCTCTGTGTCTCTCTCTGTCTCTCTGCGTCTATCTGTCTCTCTCTGTGTCTCTGTCTCACTGTGTCTCTCTGTGTCTATCTGTCTCTCTGTGTCTATCTGTCTCTCTGTGTCTCTGTCTCTTTCTCTGTGTCTCTCTGTCTCTCTGTGTCTCTCTGTGTCTCTCTCTGTCTCTCTCTGTCTCTCTCTGTGTCTCTCCGTGTCTCTGTCTCTCTCTGTGTCTCTCTGTCTCTCTGTGTCTATCTGTGTCCCTTTCTTTCTCTGTCTCTCTCTGTGTCTATCTGTGTCGATCTCTGTCTCACTGTGTCTCTCTGTCTCTCTGTGTCTCTGTGTCTCTTTGTGTCTCTCTTTGTCTTCCCGTGTCTCTCTCTGTCTCTCTCTGTGTCTCTCTCTGTGTGTCTCTCTGTGTCTCTCTGTGTCTCTCTCTGTCTCTCTCTGTCTCTCTCTCTCTGTCTCTCTGTGTCTCTCTGTGTCTCTCTCTCTGTCTCTCTGTGTCTCTCTCTGTGTCTCTCTGTGTCTCTCTCTCTCTGTATCTCTCTGTCTCTCTGTGTCTCTCTGTGTTTTTCTCTCTCCCTGTGTGTCTCTCTCTCTGTCTCTCTGTGTTTCTCTCTGTGTGTCTCTCTCTCTCTCTGTGTCTCTCTCTGTGTCTCTCTCTGTCTCTCTGTGTCTCTCTGTGTTTCTCTCTCTCTCTGTCTCTCTCTGTGTCTCTCTGTCTCTCTGTGTTTCTCTGCTCTCTGTGTTTCTCTCTCTCTCTGTGTCTCTCTCTCTGTCTCTCTCTGTCTCTCTGTGTCTCTCTGTGTCTCTGTCTCTCTCTCTGTGTCTCTGTCTCACTGTGTCTCACTGTGTCTCTGTGTCTCTCTGTGTCTCTCTGTGTCTCTCTCTCTGTGTCTCTCTGTGTCTCTCTCTCTCACTGTGTCTCTCTGTGTCTCTGTCTCTCTCTCTCTGTGTCTCACTGTGTCTCTCTGTGTCTCTCTGTCTCTCTGTGTTTCTCTCTCTCTCTGTGTCTCGCTTTCTCTCTGTCTCTCTGTGTCTCTCTGTCTCTCTGTGTTTCTCTCTCTCTCTCTCTGTGTCTCTCTGTGTTTCTCTCTCTCTGTGTGTCTCTCTTTCTCTCTGTCTCTCTGTGTCTTTCTGTCTCTCTGTGTTTCTCTCTCTCTGTGTCTCTCTCTCTCTGTGTCTCTCTGTCTCTCTGTGTCTCTCTGTGTCTCTGTCTCTCTCTGTGTCTCTGTCTCTCTGTGTCTCTCTGTCTCTCTGTGTTTCTCTCTCTCTCTCTGTCTCTCTGTGTCTCTCTCTCTCACTGTGTCTCTCTCCGCAACCCACCCACCCACCCCACCCCAACCCGGCCGCCCTCATGCAGGTGGGAGACTCGTGGCTTGAGGGCTGCGAGCAGAAGGAGTGCCTGGAGGGCGGCCGCGTGCTGGCGAGCGCCGTGCCCTGCCAGGACGAGGCGGCGAACTCCCGATGCCCGCCCGGAGTTCGCCTCATGCCAGCGCCGCCGGTGCCCCTCCTGCCCGGCGCCATCGGCAGGGCCCCCACGTGCTGCCCTCCCCTGCAGTGCGGTGAGCCGGGAGGCGACCCCAAGCCACCCGCTCCTGCACCCAATGCCGCGCTCGCCCCCCTGGCGCGAAAGGGGCAACGCTCGATACCGCCCTCACTTCTTGAGGAGCCGGGGGTTAGAAGGGAGCGAGATGGAGCGGGTGGAGATTAGCCCACACACGGTGTATAAGGGAGGGAGATGGAACAGATGGGGATTAGCCCACACGGTGTAGAAGGGAGCGAGATGGAACAGGTGGAGATTAGTCCACACACGATATAGAAGGGAGTGAGATGGAACAGATGGAGATTAGTCAACACACGGTGTAGAAGGGAGCGAGATGGAGCGGGTGGAGATTAGCCCACACACGGTGTAGAAGGGAGCGAGATGGAACAGATGGAGATTAGCCCACACACGGTGTAGAAGGGAGTGAGATGGAACAGATGGAGATTAGTCCACACACGGTGTAGAAGGGAGCGAGATGGAACTGATGGAGATTAGCCCACACACGGTGTAGAATGGAGGGAGATGGAACGGATGGAGATTAGCCCACCCACGGTGTATAAGGGAGCGATATGGAACAGATGGAGATTAGTCCACACACGGTGTAGAAGGGAGCGAGATGGAACAGGTGGAGATTAGTCCACACACGGTATAGAAGGGAGTGAGATGGAACAGATGGAGATTAGTCAACACACAGTGTAGAAGGGAGCGAGATGGAGCGGGTGGAGATTAGCCCACACACGGTGTATAAGGGAGGGAGATGGAACAGATGGAGATTAGTCCACACACGGTGTGGAAGGGAGCGAGATGGAACAGATGGAGATTAGCCCACACACGGTGTAGAAGGGAGCGAGGTGGAACGGGTGGAGATTTGCCCACACACGGTGTAGAAGGGAGTGAGATGGAACAGATGGAGATTAGCCCACACACGGTGTAAAAGGGAGCGAGATGGAACGGATGGAGATTAGTCCACACACGGTGTAGAAGGGAGCGAGATGGAACGGGTGGACATTAGCCCACACACGGTGTAGAAGGGAGCGAGATGGAACAGATGGAGATTAGCCCACACACGGTGTAAAAGGGAGCGAGATGGAACGGATGGAGATTAGCCCACACACGGTGTAGAAGGGAGCGAGATGGAACAGATGGAGATTAGCCCACACACGGTGTAGAAGGGAGTGAGATGGAACAGATGGAGATTATCCCACACACGGTGTAGAAGGGAGCGAGATGGAACTGATGGAGATTAGCCCACACACGGTGTAGAAGGGAGCGAGATGGAACAGATGGAGATTAGCCCACACACGGTGTAGAAGGGAGCGAGATGGAACAGATGGAGATTAGCCCACACACGGTGTAGAAGGGAGTGAGATGGAACAGATGGAGATTAGTCCACACACGGTGTAGAAGGGAGTGAGATGGAACAGATGGAGATTAGTCCACACACGGTGTAGAAGGGAGTGAGATGGAACAGATGGAGATTAGTCCACACACGGTGTAGAAGGGAGCGAGATGGAACAGATGGAGATTAGCCCACACACAGTGTAGAAGGGAGCGAGATGGAGATTAGTCCACTCACGGTGTAGAAGGGAGTGAGATGGAACAGATGGAGATTAGTCCACACACGGTGTAGAAGGGAGTGAGATGGAACAGATGGAGATTAGTCCACACACGGTGTAGAAGGGAGCGAGATGGAACAGATGGAGATTAGCCCACACACAGTGTAGAAGGGAGCGAGATGGAGATTAGTCCACTCACGGTGTAGAAGGGAGTGAGATGGAACAGATGGAGATTAGTCCGCGCACGGTGTAGAAGGGAGCGAGATGGAACAGATGGAGATTAGCCCACACACGGTGTATAAGTGAGCGAGATGGAACAGATGGAGATTAGCCCACACATGGTGTAGAAGGGAGTGAGATGGAACGGATGGAGATTAGCCCACACACGGTGTAGAAGGGAGCGAGATGGAGATTAGTCCACACACGGTGTAGAAGGGAGTGAGATGGAACGGATGGAGATTAGTCCACACACGGTGTAGAAGGGAGCGAGATGGAACAGATGGAGATTAGTCCACACACGGTGTAGAAGGGAGCGAGATGGAACAGATGAAGATTAGCCCACACACGGTGTAGAAGGGAGCGAGATGGAACAGATGGAGATTAGCCCACACACGGTGTAGAAGGGAGCGAGATGGAACGGATGGAAATTAGTCCACTCATGGTGTAGAAGGGAATGAGATGGAACAGATGGAGATTAGCCCACACACGGTGTAGAAGGGAGCGAGAGGAACGGATGGAGATTAGTCCACTCACGGTGTAGGAGGGAGCGAGTTGGAACGGATGGGGATTAGCCCACACACGGTGTAGAAGGGAGCGAGAGGAACGGATGGAGATTAGCCCACACACGGTGTAGAAGGGAGCGAGATGGAACAGATGGAGATTAGCCCACACACGGTGTAGAAGGGAGCGAGATGGAACGGATGGAAATTAGTCCACTCATGGTGTAGAAGGGAGTGAGATGGAACAGATGGAGATTAGCCCACACACGGTGTAGAAGGGAGCGAGAGGAACGGATAGAGATTAGTCCACACACGGTGTAGAAGGGAGCGAGATGGAACAGATGGAGATTAGCCCACACACGGTGTAGAAGGGAGCGAGATGGAACAGATGGAGATTAGCCCACACACGGTGTAGAAGGGAGCAAGATGGAACAGATGGAGATTAGCCCACACACGGTGTAGAAGAGAGCGAGATGGAACGGATGGAGATTAGCCCACACACGATGTAGAAGGTGAGCGAGATGGAGCAGATGGAGATTAGCCCACACACGGTGTAGAAGGGAGCGAGATGGAACGGATGGAGATTAGCCCACACACGGTGTAGAAGGGAGCGAGATGGAACAGATGGAGATTATCCCACACACGGTGTAGAAGGGAGCGAGATGGAACGGATGGAGATTAGCCCTCACACGGTGTAGAAGGGAGCGAGATGGAACGGATGGAGATTAGCCCACACACTTACAGCTGCTGTACCGCCCTCTGCTGGATGTCTGCGTTGCTCTCCCTGACGATTCCTTTCGCTCCTCCACTTTTGTCGCCCTCCCCAGATGCCTGCGTCCACAAGGGCGTCTACCACCAGGTGGGTGGGCGGGCCACATCGGTTCACGAAGTTGTTTGTCAAGTCAACAAAACGTGGCCAATGAGTTGCTCGACAAGCACCAACCTCTTGTGTGTGTGAGAGAGTAAACCACCCTCCCGCCTGCAGCGATGACATTCGGTCGCTCGGTCAGTCAGACGGTCGGTCAATCGGTCGGTCAATCGGTCGGTCGGTCGGTCAATCGGTCGGTCGGTCGGTCAATCGGTCGGTCAATCGGTCGGTCAATCGGTCGGTCGGTCGGTCAATCGGTCGGTCGGTCGGTCAATCGGTCGGTCAATCGGTCGGTCGGTCGGTCAATCGGTCGGTCAATCGGTCGGTCGGTCGGTCAGTCGGTCGGTCGGTCGGTCAGACGGTCGGTCGCCCCTCCACGGATTGACGCAGGAGATGCCCCCCCCCCCCCCCCCCCGCCCCCCCCGCCCCCCGCCCCCCTCCCGCCCCCCCTGCCCCCCCCGCCCCCCGCCAGGTTGGCGAGCGCTGGAACGACACGGCCAGCCGCTGCGTCCTCTTCTCCTGCGGCCTGGTGGGCGGGCGAGCCGCCGTGCACGAGGCCATCACCAGCTGCTCGCCGTTCAACTTCGACCACTGCGAGGTGACGGTCGCCCCCCCCCCCACCACCACCACCACCACCACCCGTGTGGGGGGCGGTGCCACCACCCCCTGTGTCTCCACCCCCTGTGTCACCACCCCCTGTGTCACCACCCCCTGTGTCACCACCCCCTGTGTCACCACCCCCTGTATCACCGCCCCCTGTCTCCCCGTGTCACCACCCCCTGTATCACCACCCCCCGTCTCCCCGTGTCTCCCTGTCTCTCCACTGGACGTGCTGTACAGGACTCAGTCGAGGTGGTCTACGACACTCAGGGCTGCTGTCTCCTGCCTCTCCCTGTCTCCCCGTGTCACCACCCCCTGTCTCCCTGTGTCTCCCCGTGTGTCTCCACCCCTGTCTCCCTGTGTCACCACCCCCTGTCTCCCCGTATCACCGCCCCCTGTCTCCCCGTGTCTCCCTGTCTCTCCGCTGGACGTGCCGTACAGGACTCAGTCGAGGTGGTCTACGACTGCCAGGGCTGCTGCCTCCTGCCTCTCCCTGTCTCCCTGTGTCACCACTCCCTGTCTGTGTCACCACCCCCCGTCTCTCCGTGTGTCTCCACCCCCTGTCTCCCTGTGTCACCACCCCCTGTCTCCCTGTGTCTCCCTGTGTGTCATCACCCCCTGTCTCCCTGTGTCTCCACCCCCTGTCTCCCTGTGTCTCCCTGTGTGTCACCACCCCCTGTCTCCCTGTGTCTCCCTGTGTGTCTCCACCCCTTGTCTCCCTGTGTCTCCCTGTGTGTCATCACCCCCTGTCTCCCTGTGTCACCACCCCCTGTCTCCCCGTGTCACCACCCCCTGTATCACCACCCCCTGTCTCCCCGTGTCTCCCTGTCTCTCTGCTGGACGTGCCGTACAGGACTCAGTCGAGGTGGTCTACGACACTCAGGGCTGCTGTCTCCTGCCTCTCCCTGTCTCCCCGTGTCTCCACCCCCTGTCTCCCTGTGTCTCCAGCCCCTGTGTCACCACCCCCTGTCTCCCTGTGTGTCTCCACCCCCTGTCTCCCCGTGTCTCCACCCCTGTCTCCCTGTGTCACCACCCCGTGTCTCCCTGTGTCACCACCCCCTGTCTCCCTGTGTCTCCACCCCCTGTCTCCCTGTGTCTCCACGCCTGTCTCCCCGTGTGTCTCCACCCCCTGTCTCCCCGTGTCACCACCCCCTGTGTCTCCACCCCCTGTCTCCCTGTGTCACCGCCCCCTGTCTCCCTGTGTCTCCCCGTGTGTCTCCACCCCCTGTCTCCCTGTGTCTCCACCCCCTGTCTCCCCCTGTCTCCCCGTGTGTCTCCACCCCCTGTCCCCCTGTGTCTCCACCCCCTGTCTACCTGTATCACCGCCCCCGTCTCCCCATGTCTCCCTGTGTGTCACCACCCCCTGTCTCCCCGTATCACCACCCCCTGTCTCCCCGTGTCTCCCTGTCTCTCCGCTGGACGTGCCGTACAGGACTCAGTCGAGGTGGTCTACAACACTCAGGGCTGCTGTCTCCTGCCTCTCCCTGTCTCCCTGTGTCTCCACCCCCTGTCTCCCCGTGTCACCACCCCCTGTCTCCCTGTGTCTCCCCGTGTGTCTCCACCCCCTGTCTCCCTGTGTCTCCACCCCCTGTCTCCCCGTGTCACCACCCCCTGTCTCCCTGTGTCTCCCCGTGTGTCTCCACCCCCTGTCTCCCTGTGTCTCCACCCCCTGTCTCCCTGTCTCCCCGTGTGTCACCGCCCCCGGCTCCCCATGTCTCCCTGTGTGTCACCACCCCCTGTCTCCCCGTATCACCGCCCCCTGTCTCCCTGTGTCTCCCTGTCTCTCCGCTGGACGTGCCGTACAGGACTCAGTCGAGGTGGTCTACGACACTCAGGGCTGCTGTCTCCTGCCTCTCCCTGTCTCCCTGTGTCACCACCCCCTGTCTCCCTGTGTCTCCACCCCCTGTCTCCCTGTGTCACCACCCCCTGTCTCCCTGTGTCTCCACCCCCTGTCTCCCCGTGTCACCACCCCCTGTCTCCCTGTGTCTCCCCGTGTGTCTCCACCCCTGTCTCCCTGTGTCACCACCCCCTGTCTCCCTGTGTCTCACCACCCCCTGTCTCCCCGTGTCTCCCTGTCTCTCCGCTGGACGTGCCGTACAGGACTCAGCCGAGGTGGTCTACGACGCCCAGGGCTGCTGCCCCGTGTCGTGCCAGCCCCGGGCGGGGCCCGGGGACTCCCCGCGGTGCCGCACGTTCAAGACGCTGGAGATCGTCCGCGTGGGGTCCTGCAACAGCTCCGAGCTCGAGCTGGGCCATTGCAGCGGCACCTGCCAGTCCTCGACCAGGTGAGGACCACCACACCCTCATCCATCGTCTTCTTCGTCATCTTCGTAGACGTCATCGTCATCGTTGCCGTCATCATGCTGCACTTCACACTACTGTACACTACACTATACACTGCACTATACTGTACACTACTATACACTACACACTACTATACACTACACTACACACTACTACACACTACACTACTATACACTACTACACTATACACTACTACACTAAACACTGCACTTCTATACACTGCACTATACACTGCACTATACACTGCACTACTATACACTACACTATACACTACACTATACACTACACTATACACTACTATACACTGCACTATACACTACACTACTATACACTACACTATACACTACACTACAATACCTTACACTATACACTACTATACACTACACTACTATACACTACACTACTATACACTGCACTATAAACTACACTACTATACACTACAATATACTACACTACAATATACTACACTACAATATACTACACTACACACTATACTATACACTACTATACACTGCACTATACACCACTACTATACACTACACTACTATACACTACACTATACACTACACTATACACTACTATACACTACACTATAATATACTACACTATACACTACACTATACACTACACTACTATACACTACACTATACACTACACTACTATACCCTACACTATACACTACTATACACTACACTACTATACACTACACTATACACTACACTACTATACACTACACTATACACTACACTACTATACACTACACTACACACTATACACTACACTATACACTACACTACTATACACTACTAAATACTACACTATACACTACTATACACTACACTACTATACACTACACTACTATATACTACACTATACACTACACTACTATACACTACACTATACACCACACTATACACTACTACACTACTATATACTACACTACTATATACTACACTACTATACACTACACTATACACTACACTACTATACACTACACTACTATTCACTACACTACTATGCACTACACTACTATACACTACACTACACACTACACTACACACTACACTATACACTACACTACTATACACTACTATACACTACACTATACACTACACTACTATACACTACTATACACTACACTATACACTACACTACTATACACTACTACACTATACACTACACTATACACTACACTACTATACACTACACTATACACTACACTACTATACACTACACTACTATGCACTACACTACTATGCACTACACTACTATACACTACACTACACACTACTATACACTACACTATACACTACACTACTATACACTACACTACTATACACTACACTACTATACACTACACTACACTATACACTACACTATACACTACACTACTACACTACACTATACACTACACTATACACTACACTATACACTACACCTCCGATTAACGCAGTTGGCTACGTACGGCGCGCAAAAAAGTTCAACATGGTCACCGTACCACTCACCCCTCTCCTCCTCACCCCTCTCCTCCTCACCCCCTCCTCCTCACCCCCCTCTCCTCCTCACCCCCTCCTCCTCACCCCCCTCCTCCTCACCCCCCTCCTCCTCACCCCCCTCCTCCTCACCCCTCTCCTCCTCACCCCCCTCCTCCTCACCCCCCTCCTCCTCACCCCTCTCCTCCTCACCCCCCTCCTCCTCACCCCCTCCTCCTCACCCCCCTCCTCCTCACCCCCCTCCTCCTCACCCCCCTCCTCCTCACCCCCTCCTCCTCACCCCTCTCCTCCTCACCCCCCTCCTCCTCCCCCCCCTCCTCCTCACCCCCCTCCTCCTCACCCCTCTCCTCCTCACCCCCCTCCTCCTCACCCCTCTCCTCCTCACCCCCCTCCTCCTCCCCCCCCTCCTCCTCACCCCCCTCCTCCTCCCCCCCCCTCCTCCTCACCCCCCTCCTCCTCACCCCCCTCCTCCTCACCCCCCTCCTCCTCACCCCTCTCCTCCTCACCGCAGGCTGGACCATGCCCGGCGCTCCGTCGTTCGAGCCTGCAGCTGCTGCAGGGAGAGTTTGGTGGAGCAGCGGAGCGCCACTCTACGCTGTGACGATGGCACCACCAGGAGCTACGCCTATGACTTTGTGAGGGCCTGCTCCTGCCTGGCCCTGTGCTGACCGCGGTGACGGTGACGATGAGGGTGGTGGTGGTGACAGTGGTGGTGGTGGAGACAGTGGTGGTGGTGGTGACAGTGGTGGTGGTGACAGTGGTGGTGGTGGTGACTGTGGTGGTGGTGGTGGTGACAGTGGTGGTGGTGGTGGTGGTGACAGTGGTGGTGACAGTGGTGGTGGTGACAGTGGTGGTGGTGACAGTGGTGGTGGTGGTGACAGTGGTGGTGGTGGTGGTGGTGACAGTGGTGGTGGTGACAGTGGTGGTGGTGGTGACAGTGGTGGTGGTGACAGTGGTGGTGGTGGTGACAGTGGTGGTGGTGGTGACAGTGGTGGTGGTGGTGACAGTGGTGGTGGTGGTGACGATGGTGGTGACAGTGGTGGTGACAATGATGGTGGCGATGACGATAATGGTTACCAGGAGCTACACCTATGCCTTCGTCAGGCGCCTGCTCCTGCCTGGCCCTGTGCTGACCGCGGTCGCCCCACCTGCCATCTCCTCTCTACCCTCAATAGCCTCCTACAACCCCCCCTCCCCCACAACTCCTCCCCGCCCCTTTCCTCCGACCTCTGACCTCGGCCGCCCTCCGACCTCTGACCTCGGCCCCCTTCTTCTTTCCTTCAAAAGGCCGAACGCCGTTCGCTCCTCTTTCTCCGTCCGCCCTCAACCACCATCCCTGTGGCCACGCTGGGGGAAACCGTCCCTTACCACCTCCAAGGTCCATCCAACCTCATCGCCCCCTCCCTCCCCCGGCCCCTATCCCCTTCTTCCCTCCGTCCTTACATCCATCCTTTCCCTACTCACTCACTCTCACTCTCTCACTCTCTCTCTCTCTTTTCAATTCTTCTCCAACCCTCCGCCGTCTTTCCTGCCTATGTCAAAGTCGGCCATCATCGCGCCCCAATCCCTCGACGTGAACCGCGTCTCGAACCGCCGCCCGGTTTCCCCGGGGCTTCCGCCCTCCGCTCCCCGAAGGTTTTCTCGGGCGCCTTGTAGACTCGCGCCTCGACAACCCCGACCCCACTCCGCCAAGTCTGGCTTTTGGCCCGCTCATTGCCGTCCAGAAGGACACCGCGTGACCTACTCGACCCCGCGCAGGACTCCCATCCGCCTCGATGTCCCCCCGCCCTTCGACACGCAGGTCCATCGTCCCCCCCCCCGGTCCGTCGTCCCACTCTTCTTCATGCTTACTCTCTCTGTCTCTGTCTCGATCTCTCTCATTCATCCCGGGCAAATTTCCGGCGCTGCTTAATCCTGGCTCCACTTCGCGTCTCCCGTCACGCTCATCCATCGGCCTCCTCCCCCCCCCCCCCCCCCCCCCCCCCAATCGCTCCTGCTCCACTCCCTCCCCCGCCACAGCCGGTACATTCCCCAAAGGCTCTGTCCAGGGCCCCCCGCCCCCCCCCCCCCCCTTCTTCTCTTCTCTCTTCTTCATCTCCCCCTCTCGCAGCCCTCGGCTTTCACTCCGGACCTCACTCCTCTAAAACCCAGGATTCATCTTTCCCCTCCACCGACCTCCACCATCACCTCCTTCCCCCCCTGCCTCCCCCCACTTCTCACTCACCCCCTATCCCCTCTGCCCGCAGCGTACGGCGACCTCTACGGCACCTCCCTTGTCCCTCGCCTCCCACACCTCCGCCATCACCCGCAACCTGCAGATTCCACCTTCTAAGCGTTCGCAAGGCTATGCCCTCTCATGCCTCAGCCCCGCCGCCAGACTGCTAACACACTCGCTCATCTTCCCCTCGGTTAGACGGCCGCAGCTTTCTCTCTCTCTCTCTCGCTCGCTCGCCTACCCGGTCTCCCAGCCCTTTGTGCGGTCCGTTCCACTGCAAACACAACCAAGATGCGGCTGCACGCTGCAACCTACGGCCTGCCACGCTGCTCCCCATCGGCTACCGGAGCCTGTTCAAGCTCCTCACGCCGGTCTATGAACCTCTCCACGGCCTCGCCGCACCGCCACACTTCTCTCGTCTCCTTCCAGGTCCCCGCCCCGCTCCGCTCGCGATCTCTCCAACTCCTCTCCGCTCCTCCTACCCCCTCCCCCGCCCGCCGCCACTCGCCCACCTTGCACTTGAACGAACTTCCCCGTCCGCATGAAGCTCCCTCAAGGGCCCCATCTCTCCTCACTGGTCTCCCCGTCCTCACCTCCGTCCCTAGGTACCCACCGTAATTCCCGTTCCCACAACACCTCCCTACCAATACCCCCACCCCCCTTTCCCCTCTTTCCCCCTCCTTCTCTCGCATGCCACCGTGTCACTTTTAGCAAAAACGATTGTGCCATTTATAAGTCTTGTAAAGCGCCTCGCATGTGACGCGGTATGTTAATGTGAGATAAGATGGCGGTGAAGATGGCGATGGTGATGGTGACGATGATGGAGATGGTGACGATGATGGAGATGGTGACGATGATGGTGATGATGACGATGACGGTGACGATGATGGTGACGATGACGGTGACGATGACGGTGATGATGACGGTGACGATGATGCCTGCTGTATATTTGGAGTCTGTCTCTCTCTCTCTCTCTCCCAGTGGTCGCGTGGATTTTTCTCCGGTTCCTTCCAGTTTTTTCCATCCACATTCAGAATCAACGTCACGCAATTCAAATGTTCACATGATAAGCCACTTGCCTGAGCCGTTATCATTTGTGACGGCAAAGTCGCTTCTGCCAAAAGAGCTACGCAGCATTTCAGTGGGGCCTTGCACCTGGTTAAAATATAAAACAAACGTTTACTTTTTAGTACGCCTTTTGGCGTCTTCTGGTCCAACACCAGTGGAGACTGGGCTCTAAGAAAAGCCGTCTCGGGTGTGGACCAATCAAATTCAAGGACAGTGCCAATATTATTATCAGAGTTGTCTCTTTTGTTTGCATTTTGACTGCTTGTGTTGTGGTTATTGCAAACATGATGCCTTGAATAAAGGTGTCAGTTTTTGTGCCAGTTAAAAGGGTAAAACCTCTTGCTAAACGTTTACTTTTGATTTAAAGCTTTTGTGACCGCAGGGATTCATATTCTTGGTTCTTTTGGTAGAGTCACCACCACGTAGAAGGGAAACAATAAAATAATGAAAATATATATGAAACAATAAAATTCACACGACGTTTCGACTGCAACACAAGAAGCAGTCATCGTCAGGTGTGAAAACCACAGCAAGAAATTTTATTGCTTTATTATTTTATTGTTTCCCTCCTACGTGGTGACTTTACCACGAAGAACCGAGAATACAACCGTTTCCTGTTATCCATAATAGTTTTACTTTATTACTTTATCGGGACTAAAGGTGTTAGAACACGAGAATCTAAATGTTCCATGAAGCCCGCCACCACCCGGCCAAATCGGTCAACTCTCCCAGCGTCCGCCGCTTGTGTGTCGGAGAGTTTGCAGCTGCGCCTATCGTTGAAGTTGCGAGACCCTCGCTTGTGGAGACTCGGTTCTTGTGCACTGTGGAACTCCCTCTTAATGAGCAGCCGAGTTAACAACTAATCGCTTAACGGCGGGCCTCCATAGAGTATCGTAGTTTATAGTCGTGTAGTGTAGTGTGTAGTGTAGTGTGTAGTGTATAGTAGTGTAGTGTGTAGTGTATAGTGTAGTGTATAGTAGTGTGTTGTAGTGTATAGTGTAGTGTATTGTAGTGTAGAGTATAGTGTATTGTAGTGTAGTGTATAGTTTAGTGTATAGTGTAGTAGTGTATAGTGTAGTGTATAGTAGTGTAGTGTATAATGTAGTAGTGTATAGTGTAGTGTATAGTAGTGTAGTGTATAGTAGTGTATAGTGTAGTGTATAGTAGTGTAGTTTATAGTGTAGTGTATAGTGTATAGTAGTGTAGTAGATAGTAGCGTAGTGCCTCCATAGAGCCCAATGTGTTCGCTTACCGACCATTCCCCCGCTAACGAAGAGCCGTTGTAGGCAACCAACTACCATCACTAAGGGTTGGGCTTCCACACGCACGTCCTCCACGCGCACGTCCTCCACACGCACGTTGGCGGTGGTGGTGTTGGCGGTGGCGGTGGTGGTGTTGGCAGTAGTGGTGGTGTTGGCGGTGGTGGTGGTGGTGGTGGTGTTGGCGGTGGTGGTGGTGGTGTTGGCGGTGGCGGTGGTGGCGGTGGTGGTGGTGTTGGCGGTGGTGGTGGTGTTGGCGGTGGCGGTGGTGGTGGTGGTGGTGTTGGCGGTGGTGGTGGTGGTGGTGTTGGCGGTGGCGGTGGTGGTGTTGGCGGTGGTGGTGTTGGCGGTGGCGGTGGTGGTGTTGGCGGTGGCGGTGGTGTTGGTGTTGGCGGTGGTGGTGGTGTTGGCGGTGGCGGTGGTGGTGGTGTTGGCGGTGGCGGTGGCGGTGGTGGTGGTGTTGGCGGTGGTGGTGTTGGCGGTGGCGGTGGTGGTGGTGTTGGCGGTGGCGGTGGTGGTGGTGGTGTTGGCGGTGGCGGTGGTGGTGGTGTTGGCGGTGGTGGTGGTGTTGGCGGTGGCGGTGGTGGTGACCTATCGGATGTTACGCAATTGCTGTTGCTCGTGCGTGTGCGTGTCGCGTCTTCTTTCTTTGGGTGCAATAAAAGTGGCCAGTGTGGCGGCAATTCCTTGAAGACTCGGTCGTGCTTTTCCACGCCGTCGGTGCGTGCGCACGTACGTGTGCGTGCGTGCGTGCGGTGCGTGCATACGTGCGTATGTACGTGTGTGCATACGTATGTACGTGCGTACTTGTGTAAGTACGTGGGTGTGTGCGTGCGTACTCTCTCGGCCTCGCTGTGCGCTACGTTGCAACACTATCCGAGTAGTGAACCTCGCATTCAATAAGCTTTCGGAGCCAGGGTGAGCATACGATTCCATACGTATTTAATGAACGAAGAGAGGTAAAACTGATGGAAAAACACAGCACAAAATACAGCATCTGCTCATTCTTGCGAAATCAATACAGTGAATGAACACCGCAGCATCATAACATTGTCTTAGATAGCATGAATCTCAACAATAGGTCCTAGATGGACCAGGCACCTACGTTAGCACTGAATTATCACTGGAGGAGATTTGAATCTCCTTCCCCCCGTGGCGTGTTTGGCGATGGCCAATCTGTGCGCGAACTCGCCCGT